CTTAAAAGCCAAATCTATCCAGTTGGCTTTGTCAGAACCCAATTTAGTTCAGCTAACAATTATTGAGCACTCTGTCAAATGTTAAGTCACTGAACTATAACTAATTTAAACTGATAATGCATACAAAATGAAATGGGTTAAAAAAGGAAAACATTTCAATGAGGCTAAGTGTGCCTTTAGTCTCTAATCAGTTAAATTCTTCCTTAACAATTGCAAACCCGCCAGCATTCTGTTTACTTAGCCAGTGGCCCTGGTTGGGTCTTTTCTTTCTCACCTAGTTTCTGTCTTAGGGATCAAGAGAGGTTTGTTTTTGTCTTTAGATGGGCAAATTCATGTATTGATCTATACTGATAGGTATGGGCCAAAAGAGGAGGGTGGGGAAAAGGCTGATGTGGAAGAGAAAGGAGTAAAATGTCCTTGAGGAGGCCTGAAGAGAAAGGAGCTAGGGTGCCCAGAAGGGATTGGCTTTAGGTATGAGGAAGACTGTCTTTAAGCTAAGGACCAGAGACAGCAGTTTGGCAGGTTGTGAGATGAGGAACAGGAAGAAAGGTCTCAGCTGGGGCTAAGGGTCTGGGAGAATACTGGATGTGAGAGGGACAAGGAGGTTGATGTTGCCATCCGGGAAGTGGGAGCGGACCATATAGCCTGACTGCTGGGCAGCGTTGGAGCCCACTGAGGGGTTCTCCTGAGACCTGCCAGCACGTTGAGGGTTTCCTCCAGCCACATTCTACAGCACACGGGGGCGAATGGAGCACGCAGTGAAGTGCTGACCAAATACATATTTGCAAAGTAGGTGAGGTGCAAGGGTGTGTCGGTAGTAATTGGTCATGAAATTGAAAATGGATAAGAATGAAAGGAAGCGAGGAGGGCCAGTGAACAGCTGGCACAGTCAGCGCTCGGAGTTTCCAGTGGGCACTGGAGGGAGTGAACTGAAAGGATGGAGGGTGATGTTCAGAGGTGGGGATACAAGAAATCAGGATTATGGGGAATTGTAGCGATGAGTATTGACAAGGTCTGGGGTCCAAGGAGACTTCAAAAAGTTTGTGGAAAATGAAATCAGTATGAATTTATTTTGGTATGAAAAATTGGAAATGCACATAGTTTTTATTTTTATTTTTTAATAATATACACTTTCTATAGAGTTTTTTTTTTTTTAAGAGAGATTTTTTTCTACAGAGTATATGTGCTTGCTGGAGACATAGAGAGAGACAGAGAGTGAAAGTGAGAAATCACCTCCCAGAGGCATTGGGCATGCTACCATCCCTTCTCATTGGGCAGACTACCATCCCTTCTCCTCCATTCTTCTCTTTTTTTTTTTTGGAGAGGTTTTCACTATAGGGCGCGTGTGCTCAACAGAAAGACAGAGAGAGACAGAGAGACAGAAAGCGAGAAATCACCCCCCGTGGGGGATGGCCACACCGCAATCCCTTCTCCTCCATTCTCCTCTCGGGATCTTGGGCACGCACACACACGCACCTGGTGTGAGTTTAAGCCACCGGGTCCGGGTGGGACTGGAACCACAGTTGGCTACATGGGAATTCAGTGACATAGCCATTACACTAACTGCTGGTCCCTCCTCCATTCTTCTCTTGAGATTTTGGGCACAAAGGCATGCCACACATGCCCAGCGTGAGTTTCAAGCTGCCAGGGCCAGCACTTAAATTGCGGTCAGCCATGTGGGAGTTCAGCGCCACAACCACTACACCACTGGTTGGCCCCTTCCATGAGATTTTTAAAGACCCCTTTTATAACAATGACAGTAAGTGATTGAGGCAGGAAAGAAGACAAGTGTGTTGAAGAAGAGGAATTCAAGAAGCTGAGTCCAGGCGATTAGAAGGTTCATCATGTGTGTCTTGAAATTCACCAAGAATTAGACAGGAGTTGTACTGCAGAGAATAACAGTGGAGAAGGAGCTCACATCTTTGAGAAAGGATGGGAGATGACTACAGTAAGGAGTTGACTGTAAGAGTGAGAGTAGTCTGATGACATGGGATTCAAAGCTAGAGTGGAGAATGGTCTGGAGGTTGCAGCGAGGAGCAAGAGTGAGTGCTGCAAAAGTCATGAGAAAACATAGCAGCTCCCTGAGAGGGCCGTAGAGGGAACATGGTCTCAGGAGAGGGCCAGCGGTCCATTGGAGTCGGAAGGCTTTGCCTAACAACCAGAGAGCAGAGAGGCTATTGGGCAAGAAGGGGATTTTGCTGGTTTTCTACCATGGATTTCATCATGAGTGCAAGGGATTCAGGAGTTAGAGAGAGGTGAGAGATCAGAAAAGTTGGGGAATGTGCAGAGGCCTGTGGGAATTAGAGTGAGCGAAATGAGAGGGACCTGAGAGTCCGATCTGTGTGTATGTGTGTGTGTGTTTGCATGGGTGTGTGCTCATGTGCACATAATGCACCTGTATCCGTGTGTGTGTATGTGTGTGCATGTGTGCATGGTGTTGACTGATGTACACAGGGATAAAGGGCATAGTGAGATGAGAACGGCAGGGGTTGGTGCAGGGAGGAGTGGGTGTCTGGGCTTATGCTCTGTCTACTGAGGAGAGAGAGTCTGGGGAAATGGAAGCTCAGTCTCTGTGTGCAGGGCTAACCCGTGACCTCAGAGTGGCGGGTGTCTCCAGAAGCTGAAAGGCGTCGAGGAGTGTGAGGCCCCTCCTGCCCTGAGGAACAAAGAAGGATATCCTCTAAGTGTTTAAGTCTTCCCCTTGACTCCTGTCCAGTTACAAAGTAGTAGCCGGCACTTCTTAAATGTTTAGTATGTGCCTAAGTCCATGCTGATCACTTTAAGTGAATCATTAAATTTTCACAGTACTCTCTAGAGGCAAGTGCATATGACTCTTAATTAAATGAGGACACAATAAAAAAAATAATAATTTTACAGGAAAAAAAACAAATCCAGGAAAAAAAATTACAGAAGAACAAAACAAAACAAAACAAAACCAAATCCATGAAAAAAAAATTAAATGAGGACACCATTCAAGGTCACACAGCTACTCACTGACAGGAACACTATTTGAACCCTGGACTCTCGGACTAATTGCAGCTCACAGTTAATTTACTAGCAGTGTATACTTTGTGATAAATTTTTGTGATAATTGTCAAGACTAAACTGCAATGACTTTATGAGCCTTCTAAAACATCTTCAGATGTTCTGGGATTGTTTGAACTACTACGTGGTTTCAGCTTAGACTGCAGGTCCTTTTTGATTAGAATTTCCTCTTGCTTTTTTTTTTTTTTTTTGGAGAGGTTTTCGCTATAGGGCGTGTGCGCTCGCCAGACAGACAGAGACAGAGAGACAGAAAGCGAGAAATCACCCCCCAGGGGGGATGGTCATGCCGCAATCCCTTCTCCTCCATTCTCCTCTCGGGATCTTGGGCACGCATGCACACGCGCCTGGCATGAGTTTTAAGCCACCGGGTCCGGGACGCAAACCACGGCCAACTACATGGGAGTCCAGCGACATAGCTATTACGCTAACTGCTGGTTCCCTCCTCTTGCTTTTCATGGTTCCTTGAACAATACTGTCAAAGCTGTGTAGGGACTTACTTCTTTGTCAGTAAAAATATTAAAAACCGGGGACCAGCAGTTAGTGTAGTGGCTATGTCGCTGGACTCCCACTTAGTTGACCGTGGTTCGAGTCCCAGATCCGGTGGCTTAAACTCACGCCGGGCACGTGTGCGTCCGTGCCCCAGATCCCGAGAGGAGAATGGAGGAGAAGGGATTGTGGTGTGTCCATCATCCCTGGGGGGTGATTTCTCGCTTTCTGTCTCTATGTCTCTCTCTGTCTGTCTGGCGAGTGCACACGCCCTATAGCAAAAACCTCTCCAAAAAAAAAATATATTAAAAACCATTGTCTATGGGGCCCGCAGATGGTGTAGTGGTTACATTGCTGGACTCCCACATGGCTGACTGCAGTTTGAATCCCGGACTTGGTGATTTGAAACTCAGCCCAGGGATGTGTGCGTGCGTGCCCAAAATCCCAAGAGGAGAATGAAGGAGAAGGGATTGCGGAGTGGCCATCCCCCCTAGGGCGTGATTCCTTGCTTTCTGTCTCTCCAGCGAGTATGTGCGCCCTATAGCAAAAATCTCAAAAACAAACAAAAAACCCCAAAACCATTGTTTCTGGTCAGTTAGAATGTAGCTTTTAAAAAAAAATCTCTCCTTGGGGCCGGCAGGTGGCATGGTGTTTAAAGATGCTGGACTCCCACATGGCTGACTGCGGTTCAAGTCCTAGATCTGGCGGCTTGCTTTCTCACTTTCCCTCTCTCTCTTTCTCACTCTGTCCCTCTCTGGTGAAAATTAAATGAATTAATTAATTAAAATAAAATAATTCTTAAGAACAATCTCATCTCGATGCACTGTTTTTTTTTTTTTTTTTGGAGAGAACTTTTCATCTTTAGACGCCAGACAGACAGAGAGAGACATAGAGACAGAAAGCGAGAAATCACCCCCCAGGGAGAAATCACCCCCCAGGGATGATGGTCACGCCGCAATCCCTTCTCCTCCATTCTCCTCTCGGGATCTTGGGCATGCACGCACACATGCCCGGCGTGAGTTTTAAGCCACTGGGTCCGGGACACGAACCGCGGTCGACTACGTGGGTGTCCAGTGACATAGCCATTACGCTAACTGCTAGTTCCCTCGATGCACTATTTTTAAAACATCATTTGTTTTTTTAAAAAATTATCCCATTTAATTTTTAAAAATTTATTATTATTTTTTTAAATTTGACCAGAGAGAGGGAAAGTGAGAAAGCAAGCCACCAGCTCTGGGACTCGAACTACAGTCTGCCATGTGGGAGTTCCATGCCTTAATCACCACACCATATGCTGGTCCTTCTAAAATACAATTTGTAGGAACATTGGAAATTTAGACCAAGTTCTAAAAAGCTTGTAAGCTTGTGAAACACATGTATGTGCCCAGAATAACAGACCTTTGAAGCTTTGATTTATACAAGTATTTCTGAGGCCTTTGTTTTGTAACTACTGTTGTCCTTTCTGATAGCTGAACAGGAAGACACGCAGAAGAAAACTTTCACCTGCTGGATAAATACACAGTTGGCAAAGGTGAGGAACGTAAGAGCAACTTAAGTTACAGTAATATCCGTAACCCTCCTCCTACTCCCTCAGTTTTGACCATAAAGAGACACTTAAAAAACGGTACCGGTGGCATGTGAGAAGTTATAGACCGTCTTCTCTTGAAAGAATGTGGGGAAAGTTATCTTGCTCTTGTTTTGGTGTATTTGTCATTCATTCTCAACACACTCAAAGGATGCTTTTGCTGAAGACTGTTCTATAAAAGTATTTGTAGAGGTAATATCTCTTTTGTCAAATAAAACAATAGTAATAATGATTTATATATACAAGGGGGCATTAAAAAGTTCATGAGAAAACAATTAAAATATGAGTTTATTTTTGGTACAAACACTGCTCAAAATTTATACATAATTATTTTCATAATATGCATTCTTCATGAACTTTTAAAGATCTCTCATAGTGTTATATATTAGACTGTGTCCAGAACTCTTTATAATGATTATGACTACTCAGTACACTTAAAGGACTTCACAACATTCCCACGAGGCAGATAGTATCATTTCTTTGTAAAGACCAAATAAACTCAGGTGCAGAGAAGTTACGTGACTTTTACTGGCTACGTAGCTTGTAAGTGGTAGTGCTGGAGTACAAAGTCAGGGAGTCTGGACCCAGAGGCCTTGGTCATAATCATTGTACCATCCTACCTCTCGTTTTTTCCAAGTGCCTAGGGTAACCCAGGTACAGTGCTTCTTGTAGGCTGTTCACACTGTTACCTGTCTGCTCATCCTAACACAGTGCTTGCAATTCTAAAAAAGGGTAAATATAGGGCCAGCTGGTGGTATGGTGGTTAAGGTGCTGGATTCCCACATGATGGACCACAGTTTGAGTCCTGGACTTTGTGGCTTGAAAAATCACACCCAGCACGTGCGTGTCTCCAGAATCTCAAGAGGTGAATGAAGGAGAAGGGACTGTGGTGTGTCTGTACACCCTGGGGGGGTGGTGATGGTGATTTCTCACTTTCCCTTTCTCTGTCTCTTTCCAGCGAGTGCACATACACACACCCTAGGGCAAAAACAAGAACAAAAGCTAAAAAACAAAACAAAACAAAACAAAACAACCCAAAAAGGTAAATATATAAGCAGAAATATATATTGTCCCAGAAATATAAATATGGTCTCCAAGTGAATCATAATGCAGTCTCCAAATGGGTCATTATTGGCTGATTCTGAATGTCTCTAATGCTATTAATATTTCTGCATACAGGCTTTCACTTTCTTAAAAGGAATTATTTACTTCGGGGCCAGCAGGTAGCATAGTGGTTAAGGTGTTGGACTCTCACATGGCCTACCACCGTTTGAGTCCTGGACCCAGGCTTGAAAGTCAAGCTGGGTGCATGTGCGTGCATGCCCAAAATCCCGAGAGGAGAATGGAGAAGAGATTGTCGTGTGGCCATGCCCCCTGGGAGGTGACTTCTTACTTTACTGTCTCTCCAGCAAGCACATGCGCCCTGTAGCAATAATCTCTTTCAAAAAAAGAGAATTATTCATTTTATTTATTATTATTATCAATTTTAAACTTGTTATAGTCATCAAAGAGAGACAGGGGCGGCAGGGTGGGGTGGGGTGGGTAGTGAGAAAGTAAGCCACCAGGTCCAGGACTCGAACTATGTTCAGCCATGTGGGGGAGTCCAGTGTCTTAACCACCATGCTGCCTACTGGCCCCTCTACACAGGTTTTAAGCTCTCAGTGAAAGCCCCACACAGAAAGTGTTGTGTTATTGGAAAATTGAAATGAGGTATGTTCTCTTATGTCTTGATATGGAACTTTGTGTATTCTATTAAGAAAAAAATTAGTACTGATTCTTAGTTTTTTCAGAGAAACCAAGTACATTTATGAGAATCTTAAAAACATTGTTTTTAGACCAAAGTTTGAATGATTATTTTCCTTGTGACCTTTTGCAGCACACTCCTCCCTCAGTTATATCAGACCTATTCACAGACATTAAAAAGGGGCATGTCCTCCTGGACCTGTTGGAAGTACTCTCAGGACAACAGTTGGTAAGATTTTTAAATGATATCAAGAGGGACCAGTGGGTGGCATGGTAGTTGAGATGCTGGATGCTTGTGTGGCCAACTACGATTTGAGTCCTGGGCCTGGTAGCTTGAAAATCATGTTGAGTGCCTGTGTATGCATGCCCACAATCTTAGGAAGAGGATGGAGGACAAAGGATTGTGGTGTGGCCATTCTCCATGGGGGGTGGTGGTGAAGGATTTCTCACTTTCCTTCTCACCTTCTCTCACTGTCTCTCTGTCTCTCTTCAGTGAGTGCACATGCCCTATGGCAAAAGACTAAAAAAAAGATACCAAGTTTTTGTTGATTTGAAAAGAATATATTTCATATTTCTGATTAATATATGTGCTTGAATTTCATAGCCTCGAGATAAAGGATCTAATACATTCCAGTGTAGAAGCAATATAGAACATGCCTTGACATTCCTTAAAAACCAGTCAGTGAGTATACATTTCATTTGAAAATTCATAGAAGAAATTTCTGCTGTGGAATAATTTCTCCTTTTAACCTGCATTTCTTCTTTTCTAGATCAAGCTAATAAATATTCATGTTACTGATATTGTAGATGGAAACCCATCCATTATTCTTGGCCTGATTTGGACAATTATACTGCACTTTCATGTAAGTAGTTTGATGATATGAAAATTATTTCTACTCTAATTACCGCAGTATGAAATAAATGTAATGCAGTAAGTGGGCCTCGATGCTGAATCAGTCTTGAGCTTCTGTAGAGAGGACTCCTGAAAATCTTGAGCAGGTAGAAAATATATAGCAGATCTTTTGCCTTTTTTTTTTTTAAATTGTTTTGTCTTAATAGTTTAAGTAAACTTGTGGTTAAATATAACACACAGAGGGAAGAATGCACATATATTCATTCTAATATATGTGTTTTTTGTTTTTGTTTGTTTATTTTTTGGGATTTTTGCTCTCTATAGCATGTGCACTTGCCAGAGAGATAGAGTGAGGCAGAGGGAGAAATCACTCCCCAGAGAGGATAGTCATACTTCAGTACCTTCTCTAATCTCCTCTTGGGATTTTGGGATGCACACATGTGTGCCTAGCATGAATTTTAAGCAGCTGGGCCCTGGACTTGAACCCTGATTGACTATATGGGAGTCCAGCGACGTAACCATTGTGCCATCTGCTGGTCCCATTCTGACATATTTTTAATTTTATTTGCCGGAAGGTCTGTGTGCTTGCCAGACTGAGATAGAGTGAGAAAGAGAAAGAAAGAGAAAGAGGGAAAGTATTGCCTATGGAAAATCGTTACACTGCAGTCTCTTTGCCTCCATTTCTCCCTCTTTTCAGCATCTTGGATACGCATGCACAGGTGCCTGGTGTGCTTTTTCCAGCTGCTGGGTCTGGGGCTCAAACCGCACTTTAGGCCACGTGGCTTCCAACTGACTTAACAGTCATGCTGGGGGCTGGCCCCCTTTCTGATGAATCTTTTATAAATTAAGCACACCTATTTATATATAGTCAACCCCCCAAAGTAAAAATACAGAACTTTGCCATGTTTCGTAGTACTCCCTGTCCTTGTCCTAGTTACTGCTCTCCTTTTAATCTGCATCAGCTATCATTTAGCATCTTTAACTTCATATAAGTAGAATTATTTTCTTATATATGAGGGACTTCAAAAGGTCGTGGAAAGTGAAATTAAGTGCAGGTTTATTTTGGTGCAACAGTCTTGAAATCCATGCATAGTTTTTTCATAATATGCATTTTCCACAATCTTTTGAAATCCCCTTTGTATACTATGTACACTTTTGCATGGTTTATTAATTTAACATCCCATCTGTGAGTGTCATCCTGCTGTAGCATACATCTGTAGGTCTGTCTTTTTCACTACTGTGTATAAATATACCACAGCATGGGGCCAGCAGGTGGCATGGTAGTCAAGGCACTGGATTACCACATGGCTGACCGTGGTTCAAGTCTTGAACATGGCAACTTGAAAGCCATGCAGGCTGTGTGCCCAAAACCCCAGGAGGAGAATGGAGGTGGAGGGATTGTGGTGTGGCCATCCCCCCTTGGAGGGGTGCTTTCTGACTTTCCCTTTTTGCCTCTCTCTAGTGAGCATAGGTACCCTATGGCAAAAACCTAAAAAAAAAAAAAAAAAAAAGAATATATTGTGTATATATCTAGGAGTGGAATGCTGGTCTGAGAATATATGATCTTCAACTTTAGTAGTGTCTGAGTCCATCTGATGTTCCTATAACAGAATATTACAGACTGGGTAATTTATGATAAATAAAAATTTATTGGTTGATGTTTCTGGAGACTGAAAAGACCAAGGTTGAGAGGATAATACCTGGCAAGTGCCTTCTTGCTATGTCATTGCATGGTGGAAGGGCAAAGGGAAGATGAGAGAGAGAGAGAGAGAGAGAGAGAGGAGGGGGGCTGAACTCATCCTGTTACAACAAACCCATTTGCACAATAATGATGTTAATTCATTTATAAAGGCAGAGCCCCCATGACCCAACACCTCTTAAAGATGTCCAGCTTGTTCTTCAGGATTATCTTGGCTATTTTTTATTCTTCGCATTTCCATATCCATTTTATAAGCAGCTTGTCAATGTCCACATGCGTATTTGCATGCACATGTGCACACACACGTAGTCTGTTGATATTTTGATTAGGATTGCATTGAATGTGTTTAACATTTTTGCAAAAAATTGACATCTTTAAAATACTGCAATCTATGAAAGTAGTCTTTTTTTTTTTTAAGAGAGATTTTTGCTATAAGGCACGTGCACTTGGTAGAGTGAGACAGAAAGCGAGAAATCACCTCTCAGGGGGATAGCCATATTGCAGTCCCTTCCCTTTTTGGGATTTTGGGCATGCATGCACACACACCGGGTGTGAGTTTTAAGCCACTGGGTCCAGAACTTGGACCACAGTTGACTATGTGGGAGTCCAGTGATATAACCATTATGCCATCTGCTGGTCTTGAAAGTCGTATTTTCATTATTGCTCTCTTTAGAATATTTAAATATTTCCATTATGATCTCTCACTTGACCCATGTTTTATAGAGAAGTCTATTTTTTCTTTTTTTTGGAGAGATTTTTGCTATAGGGCGCGTGTACTTGCCAGAAAGAGAGAGAGAGACAGAGAGACAGAAAGCGAGAAATCACCCCCCAGGGGGGATGGCCACACCGCAATCCCTTCTCCTCCATTCTCTCGGGATCTTGGGCATGCATGCACACGCACTTGGCGTGAGTTTAAGCCACTGGGTCCGGGACTCAAACCATGGTCAGCTACATGGAAGTGCAGCAACAATAGCCATTACGTTAACTGCTGGTCCTGAGAAGTCTATTATTTTTAATAGACTTAATTTTTAGATAGATGGAGATTTTTGTCTATTTTGCTACTGGCTAAAATTTCAGTGCAGAGACATAATCTGAATGATTTTAATTCTTCAAAATTCCTGAGGCTCACTATGGCTCAACACAGGATGGTCAATTTTATTAGAAGTTCTATGTACTTGAGAAGAATATTGGTTCTGCCAGAATTTAGTTACAGCATCTAAATAGGTCATTGCCAATCAGATCAATTTGTTAATAGTGTTGGTCACATTAATTATTATTGGTTGTCAGGTTATTCTGTCAATTATTGAGAAAAATATATTAAATTCTTATATGTTTGTGGATTTATCCTTAAAGTTTTATGTAAATATTATTGTACTGTCCCCTCCCAAATTTGAACCAATTTGTACATTTACTTGCAGTATAAAGATACCACTTTCTCAAACTTCACTACAATCGGATATTGTCTTTAAACATTTTCAGCCTTCATTATATAGAAAATATTATCCTTTCACTATATACATTTAGATTTCTTGAATTACTAATCAAGTTGTTTTACATATGATTAATGGCAATTTTATTTTCTTTCTTGGGACTTTGTCTCTCCAAGTACTTTTTTTCTGTATGTACATTTCCTCTTTATTTTTTACATTTTTGCTGTAGGGCTCATGCACTTGTTGGAGATGCAGAGAGAGAGAAAAATGAGAAATCGCCCTCTGGGGGGATGGTCATGTCACAATCTCCTCTAGTCCATTCTCCTCTAGGGATTTTGGACATGCAGGTGCATGTGCCCAGCGTAAGTTTCAAGCTGTCAGATCTGGGACTTGAACCATGGTCAGCCATATGGGAGTCCAGTGCCTCAACCACTATAGCACCTGCTGGGTCCTGCACATTTGTTCTTAATGTTTTTTAATCAAAGATGCTTTTCAATTCATACAGTCTGTAAAGATGCTGTAGACTAGGAGCTCAGCTTAGTTTGACTTGTGTTGGGCTCCCGGAGAGTGCTTTGGAAGCACTTCCAGAGGGTGAATGGAAGCTTGCCCTCAGTGTGGGCTGCGATGCCGGAGTGAAGGTAAGGAATGACCTAAGTTTAGACTAAGAGAACATCAAAGTGCAGGCCCTGATAGCAAATGCTGTTCTTCAAGGATTTGTCTGGTGGTTATGTCATTAGGAGTAAATGTCACTTTCTAAGGTCTCATTTTGGCTGAAGATTTTGACTTAATGCTGGTAACGTTTGATTCTGTATATGTTAATTAACATGCTTTCCTTAGATTGAGGAGCTTGCCCGGGATCTTTCTTGCAATTACAATCAATCTTCCCAGGATGATGTGAGTGTGGCTGACTCATCTCCTACCTCAAGTCCTCCAGCTAAGAAATGCTCCAAAGCCCAAGCAAGATGGCAGATGTCTGCAAAGAAGGCCCTCCTCTTGTGGGCTCAGGAACAATGTGCCACGTGAGTAGTCTGCCATGACCAGAAACACAGGGCTCTTGTATGGGAGCATGACCTCACTGATCTCGAGGTCTGAGAAGTCAGGCTGACAGTGCTACACCTGCCCAATGCCTCCCTCTCTCAAAAGAAATCCTCATTGTCCCATTCCTCTCATAGCGAACGTTCCAAATGTGGGGGTTTGTGAGCTCAGCCACCTTTGGTTTTGAAGGCCAGAAGGTGGTATCATCTGAGTAAACCAAGTCACCCCCAATCACTGTGTTTAGGTGGCCTTTTATTGTGTGGAAATCAAATGATCTGTATTTCTTTTTCTTTTTCTTTTTCTCTTTTCTTTTCTTTTCTTTCTTTTTTTTTTTTTTTAATTGCCAGAGGACATGTCTTCTTGCCAGAGAGAGGGAAGAAAAAGAAAAAGCACCCTCAATGGGGTGTGGTCATGCCGCAATTGTTTTTTCTTTATTTCTCCTTCTTGATAGAATTTTAGGCATATGGGCACAGGCATTTTGCCCACATGCCTAGAATAGCACTTGGCTATTTTTCAAGCCATGTGTTTTTCAATTTTTAAAAAATTGATAAGTTTATAATTAAAAATTTATAAAATTGAAATGTAAGCTAGAGTTAATTTATTATTAAAGAATTTCTTTATAAAATTAGTGTAGCCAAGTGTGTAATTCAGTCACATACAGTGATGCCCTAGGCCTTCACATTCACTCACCAGTCACTCACTGACTCACCCAGAACAACCTTCAGTCCTGTAAGCTCTATCTGTGGGGAGAGCACTGTACAGGTGTACCATGTTTTTTATCTTTTATAACCACCTTTTTGCTGTAGCTTTTCTTTTTCTTTTTTTTTTTAAGAATTATTTTCTTTGTAATTATTGTTATTATATTTTATTTTTTAATTTGACCAGAGTGAGACACACATACAGAGAGAGAGAGAGATAGTGAGAATGCAAGTTTCTAGGTCAAGGACTTGAACTGTGGTCAGCCAGGTGGGAGTCCAATGCCTTTAACCACCACGCCCCTTGCTGTAATTTTTCTATGTTTAGTTATGCTTAGATACACAAATACTTACCTAGGCATTATAGTTGCCTATAGTATTGAGTATGGTAACATGCTGTACAGGTCTGTAGCCTAGGAGCAATAGGCTGCACCATATAACTTTGGTGTGCAGTGGGTTATACTATGTAGTCTTGTTTAGATACACTCTATGGCATTTGTATGATAAAATTGCCTAACCACGCAGTTCTCAGAACATATCCCCATCATCAAGTGACATATGAATGTATTTTCATATTTGTAAAACAGATAAATCAGGCCTTATTCCCACTTCTAAATGAGTCCAGATCCTGCCTGTCATTCTGGAGCCCCACTTGCCAGTCCCTAAGTCCTGGCTGCAACTTCTTACTAGTACTGGCTTCACCTCATTACTGTAGGACTGACCTCACAGTGTGGCGGTCTGTTGAGTTCAGGCCTGCCAGGCGGTGCTGAGCCAGTTCTGCCCTGGGTGTTCTCCAGGTGGTCTGGGTCTGCCCTCAGCCCAGCCCTGCCCTGTTAGCCATCAGCTGAGAGTACAGTGTGCAGCCCCAGTTCTTTCTGACTGGAGACTCTGCACCCCTAGTTTCTTTATACTCCATTTTGTCCAATCACAAAACATGGGCAGGAGTAATATGTCAAAGTTGTTGTTTATTATAAGAATTAATTTTGGGGGCCAACAGGTGGCATGGTGGTTAAGGTGACTGGACTCCCACATGGTTGACTGTGGTTTAAGTCACGGACCTGGCAACTTGCTTTCTCACTTTCCTTCTCTCTATTTCTCTCTGGTCAACTTTAATAAAATAAAAAAAATAATGATAATGAATAAAATATTTAAAAAAATTAATTTTTTAAAGCATTTAGAACAGTGGGAACCAGCAGTTAGCATAATGGCTATGTCGCTGGACTCCCATATAGTCAACTGCGGTTCGCGTCCCGTCCCGGACCCGGTGGCTTAAAACTCACGCCGGGCGTGAGTTTCAGGCTACCAGGCCTGGGACTCCAACTGCAATTGGCCATGTGGGAATCCAGCACCTTAACCACTATGCCACTGTTCTTTTGTAACTGACGTTTCTTTCAGCATGTTGTCTTTTAAGGTTCATGTTGTCTTTTAAGGTTCATGTTGTAGCATGTGTTAGAATTTCTTTCCTTTTGTCTTACTGAACTGCAATGCTGGAACCCATATGCCACGTGTTTGGGTCCCTCCCTGGATTGACTTGAAAACACAGCAGATGTGTGTGCATGCAGAAAATCCTGGCTAGCTGGAGGGCTGGGGAAAGGGGTATTGTGATGTGACAAACCCTGTTAAGGGCAATTCTTTTTCTCTTATACGTTTGCATGCACACACTTTTCTTTTTGGTGAGACTTTTGCAATAGGGCGCATGTGCTTGCAGGAGAGACAGAAAGTGAGAAATCACTCCCCAGTGGGGATTGCCACACTGCAGTCCCTTCTCCTCCATTCTCCTTTCTGGATTTTGGGCACACGTGCATATGCACCTGGCGTGAGTTTTAAACTGCTGGGTCTGGGACTCAAACCTACATGGGAGTCCAGTGATGTAACCATTATACCATCTGCTGGTCCTGTGTACACACTTTTAAACATGAATTAAGTGAATTAAAACCCCCCAAAATTTCCTTTTTTTAAAAGTTTATTTTTTTCTTTTCTTCTTAAAAAAATATTTTTGAGAGAGAGAGAGAGAGAGAGAGAGAGAGAGAGAGAGAGAAACAAGCAACCCTTGACAGGGTCTCATTTTGTAATCCCCACTCCCAACCTTTCTAGGAGAGAAACAGAAACAGAGAGAGGGAAAGTGACAAATCACTCATCCAGGAGGAATGGCCATGTTGTAATCCCTTCTTCTCCATTCTCCTCTTGGATTTTGGCCGTGCACACACATGTGCCCAGTGTTTTTCAAGCTGTCGAGTATGGGGCTTGAACCCCAGTTGACCATATGAGAGTCCAACACCTAAACCACCACACCATCTGCTGGCCCCTTATTATGATGGGTTTTAAGGAAATGAGTGGCAAAGTCTGTCTATCCAGTGAGTGACCTACTGTTGGTTTGGTATAATAACTTAACTTGTTTTAATGAAGAAGAAAATCGTTTCCTTTAGTGAAGGACCTTAACTGTATTGCACAGGTCTAAAGTCAGACTGGGGCTAGCAGATTGCTCAATGAGGAGTATCAAACTTGAGTCATTATCATTATCACCTGGAAGGCTTTTAAAAACACAGATTGTAGGCCCAGCTCCAGAGTTTGCCGTACTAGTTACAGGGCTGGGCCTGAGAGTTGGCACTGCAAACCCCGCAGTCCAGGTGATTCTGTTGCTGCTGGTCTAGGGACCACTTGAACATCAGTGCTTGTGGTGTTCTGAGCTTCATCAGACTTGGCAGTTTACTTTGATCAAAGAAATAAAATAAAACTTTTGAATAATTTATATCATTTATTTGATTCACCACATCTTGTTGTATCAACTATTAGAGAAGTGTTTTGATAACGTTATTTTTAATAGTGCTTACCATGTTTTTGTCCTTTCGTGGTAGGTCTGAGTCTGTCAGTGTGACAGATTTTAAGTCAAGCTGGAGAAATGGGATGGCTTTTTTGGCTGTCATTCATGCCCTGCGACCAGACCTAATCGATATGAAGAGTGTAGCGCAGAGATCCAACAAAGACAATCTCAAAGAGGCCTTCCAAATTGCAGAACGAGAATTAAAAATTCCCAAATTGCTGGAACCAGAAGGTAAAGAGCTTCTTTCTTTTAAAATGATTTTTATTTTAAGATTCAGCATAAAGTTATTTGAAAATAGTGTCTACATAGAAGTAAAGATAACAGCATTATGTTTTAGTTCTGGAGAGTTTAATTTCTTTATTAAATTTCATGAAAATGAGAATTCCTACCAATTAGTTGACTTGGATAATTGCAGGGTTGGGAGGCAGTGAAACCACAACTGAAAGCAAACAGTGCTATTACTGGGAATAATTTGAGCCTTTGTCTTAATTTCCTTCTACTGTGTTCTATATTATGTTGTCCTTGATTCTATCATAGTCATGTGTCACATAACATTGGGCTACGTCCTAAGAAATGTGTCGTTAGGCTACCTCATCACTGTGTGAACATCGTCGATCGTCGCGTGTACTTCCGCACACCTGGGTGGTACGGCCTGCCACATACCTAGGCTATTTGATATAGCCTATGTGCTTCTTATGGGACCACTGTTGGAAATGTGGTCTGTCTTTGACCAAAACGTTGTTGTACCTAGTGTGACCGTATTCTTTTCTAAATCTCCTCTGTAAAATGTTTCTTTGATCTTGAATTAAAGTTATTTCTGTATCTTCCCTTAATTACTCCCTCCTCCTAGTTAAAGTTGAACCTCTGTGAGAAGAGAGACTTTGCTTTTCCCATTTCTCTTTGAATGGTTGGCCAAGCTTTGCCCACTGATTCTGCTTAATCTATTCTACTGGATTGTTAAGAGTAATGAAATCCTAAGTACTGATTATATGAACAGCCGTCATCATCAAATTATACTTTTTTTCTTTTTTTTGAGAGGTTTTTGCTATAGGGCATGTGCGCTTGCCAGAAAGACAGAGACAGACAGATAGAAAGCGAGAAATCACCCCCCAGGGAGGATGACCACACTGCAATTCCTTCTCCATTCTCCTCTTGGGGTCTTGGGCATGCATGCACATGTGCCCTGTGTGAGTTTAAGCCATTGAGTTCGGGACTCAAACCGCAGTTGACTTCATAAGAGTCCAGTGACATAGCCATTATGCCAATTGCTTGTCCCCAAATTATATATTTTTTAAAGGATTATTTTATTTAACTTTATTTATTTTATTTTGACCAGAGAGAGACAGAGTGAGAGAAACAGAGAGAGAGGGGAAAGTGAGAAAGCAAGTTGCCAGGTTGGAGAATAGAACCATGGTCAGCCATGTGGGAATCCTGCACCCTTAAGCTCCACGCCACTTACTGGCCCCCAAATTATAATTTAACTTCATAAAATTTAAATAAAAATAATCCTTTCTGAGAAATATATGGGGTTGAGGACCAGCAGGTGGTACAGTGATTAAGGTGCTAGACTCCCATGTGACTGACTGTGGTTCAAGTCCTGGACCTGGTGGTTTGTTTTCTTACTTTTTCCTCTTTCTTTCATCTCTCTCTGGTGAGTGCACATGCCCTATAGCAAATTAAAAAGAAAATAGGAAGTAAAATTAAATAAATAAAAATACATGGGGTTGTATTGTTTTATAACATAAATAAAGCTATTAAAAAATTAAGCTGGAGATGGCTACTGAACTTCTACTCGCCTCTGAATACTCAGATTGAACTCCAACAATCAGGAAGAAACGCACCATCCATCAGATGACTAGAAATCACCACAGGATCACGAGAAATATGGGAAATCAAGACAATATCTCTCCTCCAAGGGAAAAGAGTAACATCTCTTCATCCTCAAACAGCACAATGAAACTCATGAAAATATCAAATAAAGAATTTAGAATGTTCATAGTGACAAAGCTAACAGAGATGGAAGAGAAGACAATGAACTGCAGAAGAGGCAGGAGAAAGGAGCCGATGAGTTCCAGGAGGTGAGGAAGTATTTGCAAGATCTGAAAGAGGAAATATACACAATAAAAAAGAATCAAATGGAACTGTTAGAGATGAAGGCTATAATACAGGAAGTCAAAACCTACCCTGAAAGTATTAAAAGCAGACTAGATCATACAGAAAATCAAATCTCAGATGTACAAGATAGAATTGCTGGCCTAGAAAAATCTACCACAAAGACTGAGAAAATTGTCGCCTAAAATGAGAATAATATATGAGAAATACTAGATACCATCAAACATCCGGATAATTGGTATCACAGGAGGTGAAGATATTAATAAGGGCATTGATAATCCATTCCATGAAATCATGGAAGAAAACTTTCCAAACCTAAAGAGGCATTCAAAGATTCATTCCCCAAAAATACAAAGGACCTGGAATAGAATCATCCTAAGAAGATCTTCTCCAAGACACATTATAGCCACATTGACCAAAACCACAGACAAAGACAAGATACTAAGATTGGAGAGAGAAAAACAGCAAGTTACCTACAAAGGATATCCCATCAGGCTAACAGCAGACCTCTCATCAGAAACAATACAAACGAGGAAAGAATAGGAAAATATATTCAAAGTGTTAAGGGAAAAGCAATTTTCACCAAGAATACTGTATCCAGCAAGGTTATCCTTCATATGGGAAGAAAAGACAAGGGCATTCTTAGATAAGCAAAACCTGAATGAATTTACCAACACCAGACCAGATCTCCAAGAAGTTCTGAAGGGAATGCTATACCAGGAAAACTAAATACAGACAAAGAGAAATAAGAATTCAAAAATAACTAAGAAAATGGCCATCTTGATGGTAGGGACAAATCTGGAATTGAATATTATATCCCAGTATTTAATCAGAAAGATTAGACCACAACAGAAGATAAATTAAATACATGAGACTGAATTGGTGAAAGAGTCTTACAACTTTTTTTTTTTTAAAGAGGTTTTTGCTATAGGGCACGTGTGCTCGTTGGAGAGACAGAGAGAGACAGAGAGACAGAAGGTGAGAAATCACCCCCCAGGAAGGATGGCCATGCCGCAATCCCTTCTCCTCCATTCTCCTCTTGGGATCTCGGGCACACACACACACGTGTCCGGTGTGAGTTTAAGCCACCGGGTCTGGGACTCGAACCGTGGTTGACTACATGGGAGTCCAGCAACATAGCCATTAAGCTAACTGCTGGTCCTGAGTCTTATGACTTTTGACTAAAACATTACTAATTTTCTTCTAGGCTTTGTTTTTCAGATTTAAGGATTTTTTCTTGTCTTGAGCTGCTGATAGGTTCATATACCTACTATTTGAACAGAATCCTAACCTGTCTCCTGGCTTCAAGTTTTAAGCAAAGCTCTCTTAGCATTTCTTTGAATTTGTTTTATTAAAGCTAAAACTCCTTCTCTTGAAATGAAAAAATATATGAAAAAATACCTATTTAATAACCTCAGGAAGCTATATAGCATCAGCTAGGTGCTACTTTATAGTATATTCATTCTACTCAGAATTTCATGCCTGAAGTCATACATGTGTTCACAGATATATGTATATAAGAGCTGAACTTGCTATTGAAAGTAGTTAGATTAAGATATTTTCTGAATCAATAAAATGCCGGGGGTAACAAGGAGGAATGGAAAGCAGCTGTAGACACCAGAGATAGTGTGGGAGGAGGGTGGGAAATGGCAGAGGGTGAGAAATAGGGGGGAAATACACACACACACACACACACACACACACACACACACATATATATATATATATATGAAACTAGAAATGGAAAATTATTGATGATAACATGTATGATTAAGCCACTATGCAGTGTATTCTGGATGGGAAATCAGATTTTGTATGCTGTAACAATGCTTATTGAATGAATGTAAAATTAACTAATTAATTAAAAATTAAGTTCACATAGTGTTAGTGAAACTTATAATGAGCTAATAGGTCAAGACACACAAATTTTAGTCTGGGGACCGGCAGGTGGTGTGTTGGTTAAGGTGCTGGACTCCCAGATCACTGACTGTAGTTTGGGTCCTGGATCTGGCAGTTTAGTTTCCCTTACTCTCTCACTTTCCCTTACTTTCTCTGATCAAATTAAACAAATAATAAAAATAACAATAATAAAATAATTTCTTTAAAAATTGAGTCTCAGCTCTGTAACTAAGAGTGCATAATAGATGACCCATGTGAAACACACTAACACACACACAGACACGTCTGTTATAAATTTTGCTGATATGAAGAAGGTATAACGCACAGTAATAAAATTTATGATATTTTTGTTGAAAATACTTTTGCTGATTTTTGCAAAATGCTTGTATTCATCTGCAGCCAATTTAAGGTTGCATTTGCTGTACCAGTGTACTCTGACGTGAGTGTTAGCTGATAATTTTCTTTATGTTAATGAGTAAGCGGAACAACAGGGGTTTGCCAGAACTCTTTCTTTTCAGTGACGTGAATGACTGCTTTGCTGAATCAAATACTGGAAGAATATTTCTAACTTTTTATGCTGTTTACCATTTCGCAGCTATAGACAGGACATCCTTTATTCAGATTTCCTTCGCTTTTACCTACTGCCCTTCTTTCTTCCAGGGTTCTGTCCTGGAAACCACATGGCACTTAGTCGCCACATCTCCTTAGGCTCTTCTTGACCAAGACGGTTTCTCAGACTTTTTTTTTTCTTTTTATAGCCTTGACAGTTTTGAGGATTACTGGTCTGGTATTTTGTGGGATGTTCCTTTATTGGAATTTGTCTCATCTTTTTTTCTCATGGTTAGACCAGGTTTATGGGTTCTTGGGAGGAAGACCAACGCAGAGCGTCATACTCATCACATCATTTCAAGGATACATTTTAACATGATTTATCATTGTTGGTGCTAGTGTTGGTCACCTTCCTGAGGTAATGCTCGTCTGGTTTCCCCACTGTGAAGTTACCCTCTCACACACACACCCCATTTCTTATTGAACTCTGAAGGGAAATTACTATGCACAGACCACACTTAAGAGAGTTATGCACCCTGCTTGATGGCAGGTTGTCTACATAAATTATTTAAAATTCTTCTGCATAAGAGGCTTGACTATTCTCCCACTAAATTTATTTAGTCATTTACTTATATCAGTATGAGCATATCGATATTTTATTTTATACTTTGAGTCGTAATCAGTGCTACTTTGTTTTAAGGCTCAAATTAAAAAACAAACAAACAAACAAAAAAAACACATTTTCTTTAAGTGCGAAGTTTTGGCAGCTGGGCATTCTTTTGGAGAGCTCCTGTGCCTCTTTGACGGATCCCCATCAATACCGGTTTGATTGCTTGTTTCTGACACCTTTCTTTCTCTGGCACAAGATGCTTATTTATCTTGTCTGTTTCTTGCCCCTGGGTTAGAATCAGCCATGTTTCCAATGACCTGTTTCCTAGTATTAGAGAATGATCATAGAAACCAGGATCTAAGTGTTGGATGGGCTCTTTACTGAGGGAACTTAGCTTTTTTTTTTTTGGAGAGATTTTCACTGTAGGGCGTGTGCGCTTGCCAGACAGACAGAGAGAGACATAGAGACAGAAAGCGAGAAATCACCCCCCAGGGGGGATGGTCACGCCGCAATCCCTTCTCCTCCATTCTCCTCTTGGGATCTTGGGCATGCACGCACAGGCGCCCGGCGTGAGTTTTAAGCCACCGGGTCCGGGACACGAACCACGGTCGACTACATGGGAGTCCAGCGACATAGCCATTACGCTAACTGCTGGTTCCCGGAACTTAGCATTTTTGACCCCCCCCCTCCTCTTAGTAGTTGAATTAGGTGCTGTTTCTAAATTCACAGTTAGCCCAATGAATCCATATTTCTGCATATCAATTTCAGCATCAGTTTGGTTAATTTTTCATGTTAATTTTTTACTCCTATCTTGTTCTTCTTCCCTCCTTTCCTTCCTCCTCCTCCTTTTGGGGGGGGGGGTCTTTTCTCTTTCCTTTATGGTTTTCCATGACCTTTTTTGCTTTTCTTTATATTCCCCCATGTTTTACTCAGTTCCTTACTTCTGATTACTGTCCGTTTTTGTACTTACATATGACTCCCCATAGCTTGAGTATAAATACTGTTTTAGGGTGTCTAAGTAATTAGGCAACTAATGGAATGACAATATAATAAAAGCAAATTTCTACTGTATGAATGATTGCCCATAATTCAGCATAAGTAGCTTAAATAATAGCTCAGAAATGTGAAATGCATCATGATTATTCATGCAAACCAAATACCATAGTCATATTTGAATAACGGAAGTATCCTTTGACACAACATTGTTAGTTATCATCATGCACGGATTTATGTATAATGAAAAGCTTTTTAAAAAGTATCTAGTCATGGGACCAGCAGTTAGCGTAATGGCTGTCGCTGAACTCCCACGTAGCCAACCGTGGGTTGAGTCCCGGACCTGGTGACTTAAACTCACGCTGGGCGTGTATGCGTGCATGCCCAAGATCCTGAGAGAAGAATGGAGGAGAAGGGATTGTGGAGTGGCCACACCCCAGGGCGGTGATTTCTTGCTTTCTGTCTCTCTGTCCTTCTCTCTCTTTCTGCTGAGCACACGCTCTGTATAGCAAAAAAAAAAAAAAAAAATCTAGTTATGTTGATTTTGGTATTTTATAGATTTCTTCTTATGTACTCCTTTCTTTTAAAGAATTATTTATTTATTATCATTATTTTTCAGTTTTGACCAGAGAGAGACAAAGAAAGAGAGAGACAAAGAAAGAGAGAAAGAGGGTGAGAGAATAAGCTGCCAGGTCTGGGACTTGAACTGTGATTAGTTATGTGGGAGTCCAGTGCCTTTAATCACCACACCACCTGCTGGCCCATGTATTCCTTTTCTAATCAGATAGAATAACCAAACTATGAGGAATTCTTCCTTTATTGAAACCCTACTGCAGGATTTTACTGATAGCTTTTAATGCTTACTGCCTTAAATTATATTATTTGTATTTGTTTATGGCTTAGATTCACTTTTTTTAAAGAATTATTTTATTTAACTTAATTTTTTTAACTTATTTATTTTAATTTGATTAGAGAGAAGCAGAGTGAGTGAGAGAGAGAGAGAGAGAAAGTGAGAAAGCAAGGTGCCAGGTCTGGGACTCAAACTTGGTCGGCCGCATGGGAGTCTAGCACCCTTAACCAACCACGCCACCCCTGCCAACTCCTAGAGTAACTTGTTTTAGTTTGCACTTTCTGGAATTTTTCTTTTTTTAAATAATTATTTTATTTAACTTTATTTATTTATTTAAATTTGGCCAGAGATGTACAGAGCAAGAGAGAAAGAGAGAAAGGGAGGGAAAGTGAGAAAGCAAACTGCCAAGTCCAGGACTTGAACCACAGTTGGCCATGTGGGAGTCCAGTGCCCTGAACCACCACTCTACCTGCCAGCCGCATCATTTTCTGGAATTTTATACAAATGGAATCATATGGCATGTATATTTTTGGTCTGGTTTCTTTCACTCTGCAAAATTATTTTGAGGTTCATCTATGTTGTATGCATCGACATGTCATTTCTTCTTAAATGGAGTGCAAAAAATTAAAATAAAAAGTTTTACTTTCAACCTCAGTCAACTTAGAACATTTCTTGGGCCTAGTAGTCATGCTCCCTAAAGTATAGTGTGTTAGATGTGTTTGTTGTTTGTTCTTTTCGAAGTTCTAACTCCCTGAGGGGCAGATGATATCTTAAAACATCTAATATTCACTGCAGAATGAATGAAGTGATGAAATGTAAGGTCCTGAAGGACAAGGACTGTACCTTACATGTCCTCGTAGCCCTGCCATGGCCTGCATTTGCTGGCTCTCTGTAAATATTAGTTGCACTGAGTGTAACTGATTAATAAACATTTTTTTTTCAAAAAAATTTATTTACTATTGATTTACTTAGTTTTTTTATTAAAATTGTTTTTCTTTTCAAGGTTTTTTTGCCATAGGGTATATGCACTCACCTAAGTAGTAAAGGAGGGAGGAGAGGAGAAAAATAAAGCGTTCCTCCTCCTGGAGGCATAATATAGACATTCTTCTAGGGGTGCAGGAACACACAGCAACTGAAACCTCCCTTTTTTAAATTTTAGATATTTGCCAGAAGGGCACATATGCCCGCTGAAGAGAGACAAAGAGAGTAAAAGTGAGAAATCCCCCCCCCCCACCAGGTTTGATGGCCACACTGCTCATCCCTGCCCCTCCATTCTTCTCCTCCATTCACATGTGCCCAGTGTGATTTTCAAGCCACCAAGTCTGGAACTTGAACCACAGTCAGCCATGTGGGAGTCCAGTGCCTTAACCACCGTGCTACCTGCTGGCTGGCCCCTGAGATCTCTTCCTAACACGTTAGTCTCAACATTTGTATAATGAAGCATTGCCAAAAGTATATATCGCAAGGAAGACTTGTTCAAGTCATCTGTAGAGTTTATTCATTCGTTCCTAGAACAAATAAATTTGCATACAAGACCCATAATGACAATTTTAAGGAAACTGAGACTGTGAATGTCCTAGTCAGGATTCAACAAAGATCTGACTCTCGTTCCAAGCTCTTATCCACTGCACATTCTTGGAGCAAGGGTGAATTGCATGGCTGACTGACTACTGACTACTAAGGGATTATGAGCCAAATGGCATAAACTATGGAACAGCCTGTTTTGACCGTTCATTCTAGCAAACCATTCCCGTAGCTAATTGATGGCATGCTATATCTTGCAGACGTGGACATCGTTAATCCTGATGAGAAGTCAATCATGACATACGTGGCACAGTTTCTGAAGTATTCAAAGAAAGCACCTGAGACTGGAGATAAGGCTCAGGTATGTCTTTATAAGTTCAGCTCATTTTTGTCGTAGCCTTCTCATGGTTTACTTTGAAAAATCTAGATATAATTTGCATACAGAACTTACATATGTAGTTCAGTGAGTTACGAGAAATGCGTACACTCAGGTAAACCATACTCCAATCATGATAGAGAACATTTCCGTAATCCATAATGTTCCATCCTGCTCTTTTCTGTCTCCACCCCCTCCCCCCAGCAACCAGCATTCTAATTTCTTTCACCGTAATTAGGTTTGCCTGTATTTTTTATTTAACATCGATAACATGTTACACTTTGCCAAATCATCTGAAACAACTTTAGGCAGGCACAATATAGGAAAAAATGGTAGTGATGTCAAATCTTTATCATTTTGATTAACTTTATTGAGATACAGTTTACACACTTTATATACTATAAAACTCTATTTAGGCTGCATAGTTCAAGCGTTGTTAGTATATTTATGTGATTGGGCAACCATTGTCCTCATCTAATTTTATCACATTTCCATTTTGCCTGTCCTTTAGCTTCATAGAAATGGAATTGTGTAATTGGTATAAATGAAAGCATTGTGTTATACTGTCGATCCCTGTTTGTTGAGACACTTTTGAATTGCTGTTACATTGCCACTTGATTATTCAGTTTTCTCCTTTCATTTGTCATCAGTTATATCGAATATTATGGATAGAAATGTCATAAAAATCACTGAGCTGAAAAGAAACTTTCATTTTGCCTCTACGAAGATAGATGGATTTAGTAAAATGTTTATTGATATTAAGTTTATTTCGAGCTGCTTTCTCAGACATGTTTACATGCGTTCTGTTTGACATGTTGGGCCTATGTTTTTCCAGCTCTGGGTTTAAGGCAGTAAGCCAGAATGCAGCTGACTCTGGTAGAGAGGCTCAAGCTGAGATGCAAGTTTATAATTCAGTTCACTTCTTTCTGACCTGCTGAGGAGCTTCACTTTTCTAATTAATTTTCATATGAAAACTTCAAATTAAAAACTCAACTGTCCATGAAATTGCAAAAATGTTAGAAACACTTTTGCTTAATAGAAAAAAAACTTAGTGGAGGTTAAGGAAGAATAGAAAAAAGATGTCTCTTCCGCTTTACCCTCCAGCAGTAAAATCTGCTCCTAAATGGAAGCAATCTTACCACGTAAGCAAGAATTCGAGAAAAAAAAAAAATTGTTGCTCACTTCTATGTAGTAGCATGACCAAAACTTTCAGTAGTGTTATTTCTAGAATCTTTAAAATGTTTAAGATATTTTTGATGTCAGTGTTTTTGCTGGCTGTGAACATCTCTTAAATTAGTTCATATTTATTGGGAAGCAGTCTTCTGAAATGCCGGCTATACAGAATGATTTAGATGAAAATTTAATAGTAATGAAAAATTGAAGAATAATGGAAATAGATAAGCCAAAAAGGTGAAGAGTTCTACCTTTTTTCCTTCAGCACATTAAGTTCATGTATTAGTTTCAATCTATTTAAAATTTTAAGGTGCTATGTGAATAAGCAAAATTACTGCTTGATACATGAGTCATTGGTGTGTCTTGATGGCATTACGTCACTGATGATTTAAGCTGTTAATTTTACTATTAAAATGTTACCACATCTATTTAGGATTTAGTTTAAATGTGTGTGTATGTGTGTGTGTGAATTACAGGGAAAGGTGAAAGATGCTATGAGCTGGCTAGCTCTGCAAGAGGAAAAACTACAGAAGTTGTTAAAGGATTCAGAAAATGAGACCTACTTTAAAAAGTATCATGTAAGTATGACTTTAAACAGTGTATTTGTAGTTTAATCTTTTAGGGAAAAGTAGTTAAGTACATATTCAGAAAACTTTTTCAGAGTAGAATACATATAGTTTTAATTTGCTGTTGGGTGTGTGCACTTGCGGGAAACAGCAAGAGAGAGAGGGAAAGTAAGGAAGTATACCTTGGGAGGAATGGCCTCACCACCGTCCCTTCTCCTCTGTTCTCCTTTTGGGATTTTGGGCAGGTACTCACATGCACTGGTGTATCTTCCAAGCTGCTGGGCCTGGGACTTGAACTGCACAGTTGGCCATGTGAAATTCAGCTTTCTTAACCACGATGCCATCGGCTAGCCCAGAGTTAAATATTTCAGTATTAAATTATCTCCAGGTGTTAGGGCTTCATTTTAGGACAGTGCTTCAGAGAGTTTTATGTGCATGCGAATCACTGGGTAGCCCCACTCTGATTCAGTAATTTGGGGGCAAAGCCCGAGGTTCTGCATTTCTAAAAAGGTCCCAAGATATGCTGATGCTGCTGGTCCTTGGAGAGTTTTGAGCAGCAATATTCGAAAGCAGGGTGAGCAAACTAGGACCCATGGACCTTGACATTTGTTTTTGGAAATGAAATATTCTTGGAACAGAGTATTGTCTACAGGTAGAAATGTGTACACAGCAACCCCAGGGTTGAGTAGCTATGACAGAGACGATATGGCTGGTAAAGCCCAAGATATTTACTCCCCCTTTTAGTAAAAGTTCCCCAGTCCCTGATTTAGAGAAGAACTTGCTTTTCAGAATGAACATTGAATGTAAAAATGATCAGGCAGTCAGAAACAGGGAATCTTAAGAGTCACAGTACATGGCCTCAGTGGAGTCCTTTGGGGGAATAAAGGCAGTTCTTATTTTTACCACATGTTGGACATTTGCTATGTTCCAGGCCCCTTACTGAGAAGAATTTCACATGTTAAAACATCTTGCTGGGGGGACCAGCAGTTAGCATAATGGCTATGTCGTTGGACTCCCACGTAGTCGACTGCGGTTCAAGTCCTGGACCCGGTGGCTTAAACTCATGCCAGGCGCGTGTGCGTGCATGCCCAAGATCCCGAGAGGAGAATGGAGGAGAAGGGATTGTGGCGTGGCCATCCCCCCTGGGGGGGTGATTTCTTGCTTTCTGTCTCTCTGTCTCTCTCTGTCTATCTGGCGAGCGCACACACCCTATAGCAAAAAGCCTCTCCCCTCCCCCCCAAAAAAAACCATCTTGCTGGGGCCAGCAGATGGCATAATATTTACGTCAGTGGACTCCCATGTAGTCGACTGCAGTTCAAGTCCTGGACCCGGTGTTATAAATTCATGCCAGGCATGTTTGTATATGTGCCCAAAATCCTGAGAGAAGAATGGAGGCGAAGGGATTGCGGCATGGCCATCCTCCCTGGGGGATAATTTTTTGCTTTCTGTCTTTCCAGTGAGCACATGTGCCCTATAGCAAAAATCCCTCTTAAAAAAAGAAAATAGAGGGACCAGCAGTTAGCGTAATGGCTATGTCGTTGGACTCCCACGTAGTCGACTGCGGTTCAAGTCCCGGACCCTGTGGCTTAAACTCACACTGGGCGCGTGTGCGTGTGTGCCCAAGATCCTGAGAGGAGAATGGAAGAGAAGGGATTGCGACGTGGCCATCCACCCTGGAGGGTGATTTCTTGCTTTCTATCTCCCTGTCTCTCTCTCTCTCTCTGTCTGGCAAGTGCACATGCCCTATAGCAAAAACCTCTCCAAAAAAAAAAAGAAAAAAGAAAAAAAAAGATTAAAAAAAAAAAAAACACCTTATGAGTTGAGTATTGTTAGCCTAGTTTTGTAGATGAAGACAAAAAGGCTTAGGGAGACTAAGTGACTTATCTAAGGTTATATGGCTACTGAAAAGTAGAAATGGGTTTTAGTAGTAGTCTACCTTCAAAGACCTAGGTCTTTCTACACTGTATCTTGATGCTTTGCCAGGTATGTAGTTATTTCTTGTATAATCTTTTTTTTTTTTTTTTTTTTTAGAGAGGTTTTTGCTATAGGGCACGTGCGCTTGCCAGACAGAGAGTGACATAGAGACAGAAAGCGAGAAATCACCCCCCAGGGGGGATGGTCATGCTGCAATCCCTTCTCCTCCATTCTCCTCTTGGGATCTTGGGCACGCACGCATACGCCCCCGGCATGAGTTTTAAGCCACCGGGTCTGGGACGCGAACCGCGGTCGACTACGTGGGAGTCCAGCAACATAGCCATTACTCTAACTGCTGGTTCCCTTTCCTGTACAATCTTAAAGGAGACTAACAGGAGCCAAAGTGAAGGTCCCACAGTTCAGTTTCTCAAAAGCCATTGTGTATGTGACCCTGTGCTCCCCCGAGGTCTCATCCTAAAGAAACTGGAGATACTGTCATGTGTCCACACAACATTTAGCACATGTCAGCCTCCTTCACACTAAGTGAGTCATTTGAGTCTAGCTTTTCCAACACTAATATTCAGTGGATTGTGTGACTAATACGTCATTCCATCCTTTTTAGTTTGGAACCATCTGAAAGGGAAGGAGTCAGACATTCTCATCATCCTTTGGTCTGAACTCCTTAGGCTTGTGTTTCTTCCCTTTTAGCTCTGGTCTGAGATTGTTTATTGACCAGATGCTCAGCGTTCATTAGAAATGCCTTGTTCCCTTATGTCTTTGATTAAGTAATGTACCACAGATTCAGGTTCCTAACTAAAAGACTTTATGAAGCTATGAATTATTAGAAAGAATGAAAGTAAGTTAATTCTCCCTTGGTTTACTTATAAAATTTAATTAAAAAGTTGTCAATAATTATGAATAATGTCTTAAATAGCTTTTATGGGATCGATAATTCTTCAACATCAATATTTCATACAAATGAAAAGCTTTAGTTATTAAAATTTTAAAGACAAAATGTTTTATAAGGTCTGTGTGAAATGGGAACAATTTGTCCAAGCTCAGCTAATCATAAACACTTAAGGAATTTTTTTTTTTTTAAAGCGAGATCTTTGCTCTAGGGCTTGGGTGCTTGCCAGAGAGATAGAAAGTGAGAAATCACCTGCTGGGGGGATGCCCACACCCAAATCCCTTCTCTTCCATTCTCTTAGAATTTTGGGCATACATGCACACACACCTGGTATGACTTTTAAGCCACTGGGTCTGGGACTTGAACCACAGTTGACTACGTGGGAGTCCAGTACATAACCATTACACCATCTGCTGGCCCCAACACTTCAGGAATTGAACGTGATACTTGCTGTCGTATCATCCTTATGTCCGCTCGCTCGTTTTGTTGTGAACACATCTTTGGGAAGAACAAGCAAGCTTACATTTTCCATGTGGCATCACTTGTTCTCTAGAGCTGGGTGACCTTGCCATTCCATTCCCGTAGACATCCAGCAGTACGGACATGAGACACGAGCCGAGACCTATGTCATGGTACTGACACCCAAATTACTGTGGTGCATTGAAGAAGGAAACCAAGTCAGGGAGAGGAAAACGGCTTCTGGAGGTTTCACTTTGTCTCAGTAAATTCTTACGTCTAAGCTGTAGACCTTAAAAAAGCAGATTTTGTTTTATAAATGGAATATTCTTATAACTGTAGGGGCTGCTGTCCTTCATGGAATCATTCAATGAAGAAAAGAAGTCTTTCGTGGACATCCTGTCAAAAGGGAATCCGGATGTGCTGGATGATGATCAGTTACAGTTGAGAAAAGGCTGGGATGGCCTCCACCACCAGGTTACTGTTTACGTTGACTAGAACATATTCAAGGGCAGCCTTATTTTGCTGGATGAGGACTTTAGACTTCCAAGCAAAACCCTGTCTTGTATAGACAGGGTAAATGCTTCATTAGAAAATGGGCTAGTGTTTTATATTTCTTCCTTGACATTATTTGAGTAGCATTTGGGTTTGAGTAGGAATTCACAGGATTGTGCTTAGAGAAAATGCAAGTTATCTAACTTTATATTTACCATCAGTTTTGGGTTTGCCTGGGAGATTATCCATATTTGATTGACCTATAACCTCTTCATCATCATGTGTTAATATCAGTAGATGTGTAAAGTGGGTAGGGACAAAACCCAGGGAGAAGGTGTAAGGATGAATGTGTGTGTGTGTGTGTGTGTGTGTGTGTGTGTGTGTGCCTTTAAAATCTATGATTTTGGTCCTTTAACATTTGGGGGGGACTTGGTTGACGACCCAGTATATGGTGTATATACATGTAAAAAGAAAGCATGTAGGGACCAGCAGATGGTGTAATGGTTACGTTGCTGAACTCCCACATAGTCAACCATGGTTTGAGTCCTGGATCTGGTGGCTTAAAATTCACACCAGGTACATGTGCATGTGTGCCCCAAATCCTGAGAGAACGGAGGAGAAGGGATTGCGGTGTGGCCATTCCCCGGGGGAAGGTGATTTTTCACTTTCTGTCTCTCTGTCTGTCTGTCTCTTCTGTGAGTGCACATGCCCTATAGCAAAAACCTCTTGGCACAGGCCCTATAGCAAAACCCTCTAAAAAAAAAAAAAAAAAAGAGAGAGAAAGCATGTGCTGTGTAGTTACTAGGTAACATTTTAAAATACCATCGAAGACCAAGTGGTTGATCGTGTTCAGATCGTCTATGCCTTGACTGACATTTTGTCCCCAGTTCTATCCAGTTGCTGAGAGAAGGATATTAAAATCTGTGGAAATCTCACTTCTCCCAAATTTTTTTTCATGTAGTTTACAACTCTGTGGTTACGTGTTTATTGTTGTTACATTCCTGATGAATTGAGGCTTTTTAGAAAAAAGTCCATTTATTGGGTACCAGCAGATGGCGTAATGGTTACACTGCTGGACTGCCATCTAGGTGACTGTTGTTCGAGTCCTGGACCTGGAGGCTTAAAACTCATGTCGGCCATGTGTGCATGCCTGCCCAAAATCCCAAGAGGAGAATGGGGGAGAAAGGAGTGTGGGGGCCATCCCCCTAGGGGAGGGGGATGGTGGTGGTGATTTCTCGCTTTCTGTCTCTCTGGTGAGCGCACATGCCCTACAGCAAACATCTCTCTAAAAGGAAAAAGAAAAAAGAAAAAAAATATTTATTTATTTATTTAGAGAGAGAGACAGCTTTTTCTAACAAGGTCTTTATCCTGTGATCCACCCCTGCCTAGTCAACCAAGATCATGGGTATGTATGTGTGTGCACACACACAGCATGTACAGGGAGGCCTTAGGATACAGACCTAGGACCTCCCCATGTGGCTTTGACACAGTGGCGTGTGTTACATTACCATTGTGCTACCATCCTGCCCCAGATTAACACATTTATCATTATGAAGTATTCCTTTTAATTTTTAGTAATATTGTTTTTCTTGACATCTACTTAATCTGATAGCAGTATAGTCATTCCATCTTCTGATCTTGACTGTTTATATGACATGTCTCTTTTGCTCATTCACTTTCAGCCTATTAAGTTGATATATTTAAAGCCTATCTCTTATAGACAGCACATAGCTGAATCTTGCTTTCTTACTACTCTGACAATCTCTAACTTTTAATTTGAGTGCTTATTAGTTCATTAACATTTAATATAATTTAAAATTTTTTAAGAATTATTTTATTTAACTTTATTTATTTATTTATATTTGACCAGAGAGGGACATAGTGAGAAAGAGAGAAGGAAAGTGAGAAAGCATGCCACCAGGTCCAGGACTCAAACCGTGATTGGCCATGTGGGAGTCTAGTGGCCCTAACTGTCATGCCCCCTGCTGGCCCCCCAATTTTTAATTTTAATTTAAAAATTTTTTTTAGTTTTTTGCCATGGGCACATGCACTCACCAGAGACAGAGACAGAGAGACACAGAGAGAAGAGAGAGAAAGTGAGTAATCACTTCCTTGGAGGGATTGGTCATGCCACAATCCCTTCATTTTCCTCTTGGAATTTTGGACATGCGTCCATGTGTGCCCATAATTTTTTTTTTTTTTGAGAGGTTTTTGCTCTAGGGCGCATGCACTCGCCAGACAGACAGAGAGAGCCATAGAGAAATCGAGAAATCGCCCCCCAGTGGGGATGGTCACGCCGCAATCCCTTCTCCTCCATTCTCCTCTCGGGATCTTGGGCACGCACACACACGCGCCCAGCGTGAGTTCTAAGCCACCGGGTCCAGGACACAAACTGTGGTCAACTACGTGGGAATCCAGCAACATAGCCATTACACTAACTGCTGGTTCCCCCAATCACAATTTTTAAGCCACCATGGGACATGAACCATGGAGAGAGCGGTTATGTGGGATCCAGCATCTTAATCTCCTTGCCACGTGATGGCCCTTAATTTTAGTTTTTTAAACTGCCAGGGAGTATCTATGCTCACCAGAGAGAGAAAGAGAGAGAGAGAGAGAGAAGTAGAACTCCTACCCCTGCCCATGGGGCATGGTCATGCTGCAATTTCTTTTCTTCCATTTCTCAGTCCTTTTGGGATTAAAGGATTTGGGACACACATACACAAACGCCTGGTGTTTTTTTTTTTTTTTTGGAATGGTTTTTTGGTATAGGAAGCGTGTGTCGCCAGCCAGCCAGACAGAGACAGAGAGACAGAAAGCGAGAAATCACCCCCCAGGGGGGATGGCCACGCCACAATCCCTTCTCCTCCATTCTCCTCTCAGGATCTTGGGCACGCACGCACGCACACATGCCCAGGATGAGTTTAAGCCACTGGGTCCGGGACTCGAACCATGGTCGACTATTTGGGAGTCCAGCGACATAACCATTACGCTAACTGCTGGTCCCATGCCTGGTGTGTTTTTTAAGCCACTGGAGCTGGAATTCAAATCTCGTTTGCCCATGTAGGGTCTGTCTCCTTTAACTACTCTGTCACTGAGCTGTTTTTAATGTAGTTGTTGATAGGGATCCATTTAAGCGTATCATTTTACTCTTTGTTTATTCCCTCTGTTTTTTGTATCTTTACTCCTTTTGCCTTGCTGTAGATGTTAGTATTTTGTGCAGTTCTATCTTGTCTATTGATTTTTATGCTCCTACCTCTTAATAGTTGCTCTAAGGATTACGGTATACAGGGAACCAGCAGTCAGTGTAATGGCTATGTCGCTGGACTCCCACGTAGTCGACCGCGGTTCTCGTCCTGGACCCGGTGGCTTAAAACTCACGTCGGGCACGGATGTGTGTGTGCCCAAGATCCCAAGAGGAGAATGGAGGAGAAGGGATTGCGGCGTGACCATCCCCCCTGCGGAGTGATTTCTTGCTTTCTGTCTCTATGTCTCTGTCTGGCGAGCGCATGCGCCCTATAGTGAAAAATCTCTCCAAAAAAAAAGGATTACGGTATACATTACAAAATTCCTTCAGTCTACTTAGGGTTGTACCAGTTCTAAGATGTTTTACAGATTCTTGTAATAGGTAGAAATCTTGCAATCAAATTGATTCATTTGGGGTTAGCTCCATGGCCCAACAGTGATGTGTTGCTCAAGAGAAGCCAGATCCCACATGGAGATCACAGTTCAGATCCCTGGGCGGGCAGTCTGAAACATGCCAGGCTTGCTTGTGGGTGCCCATGATCCAGTGGGCCAGAGGACTGGAGGAAGGGATAATGTGTGGCCAGACCCTCAGGAGGGTTCTCCTCTCTCTCTCTCGTGAGCGCATGCACCTTCTGGAAAGAAAATAAACACACATACATGTATACATATTTACATGTGACACTTGTCTGTATCACATATATGACACAAGCATGTTTGAAAGTCCCCAAGATCTTTTTATTTTTTTTTGCCCAGACAGCCATCTATTTTAAAGAATCTAGAGAAAAAAGGTATTAGCGTTGCGTACTTACCTAGCTATTTACCATTTCCAGTGTTCTTCATTCCTTTCTAGAGAATTGAATTTCCACTGAGCTCATTTCCTTTCATCCTGAAAAATTCCTTTAGTTTTCCTTATAATACAGGTCTGTGGGTGACAAATTCCCTTTGATCTCTGACTGTATTTTGTCCTCATTCTTTTTTAAACAACTTTATTGAAGTATAATTTACATATCACAGAATTTATTCATTTTAAATAAATAATGGAATATTTTTAGTGAATTTACAGAGTTGTCACAGAGACTGCATGATTCTTTTTTTTTTTTTTTTTTTTGGAGAGGTTTTTGCTATAGGGCGTGTGTGCTCGCCAGACAGACAGAGACAGAGATAGAAAGCGAGAAATCACCCCCCAGGGGGGATGGCCACGCTGCAATCCCTTCTCCTCCATTCCCCTCTTGGGATCTTGGGCACGCACGCACATGCACCCGGCGTGAGTTTAAGCCACCGAGTCCGGGACGCAAACCGTGGTCGGCTACGTGGGAGTCCAGCGACATAGCCATTATGCTAACTACTGGTCCCTTGAGACTGCGTGATTCTTTAAAGTAAAAAATACTTACGCTGCTCCTGTTCAGGGAAAGTTTGCCAACCTCTGCCTGGCCATCAGCAGTTTTCAAAATACATTTTCCATATAATTTTCTATGTTAAGTAGTACTTCAGTGGATTAAAAGAATCAACTTTCAGAGGATACTTTTTTTTTTTTTTAAGTTTTCCTATAGGGCATGTGTGCTTGTGGTAAGGTGGGGGTGTGAGAAATCATCCCCTAGAGAGGGATGGCCACACGCCACCACCCCGTTTCCTCCACTTTCCTTTCAGGGTTCTGGGCATGCGTACACATGTGCCCAGCTTGTTTCTCAACTCGCCAGGTCTGAAGCTCAAATCTAGTCACCGTAACCTCTGTACCACCTGCTGGATCCCTGCCTTTTTTTTGTTTTTAAATTCACAACAGAGAGTGCATTCCTGTGAGAGAAAGAAGGAGCACCCTTGACAGGATCTCGTCATGCCCTGATCACCTTTCCCCCAGCCCGCCAGTTCCTCAGGGTCTTAGGTACCTGCTCACATGCTGGTCTTGTTTTCAGGCAGACCCAGGGATCTGAACCTGTGGTCAGCCATGTGAATTCCAAGAGGGCAGTCCACTATGCTCCCAACCGTGCCACCTTGCCTAGAGGCCAGAGGACCCCATTCTGAAGAACTAGTGTGGCTTTAATCATCTTCCCATCAGGTGCCAGTGTCATTACGTGGTCAGTTCCTGTTCTCATCACAGCTTTGAAACTGGCTCGTGTAGAGGACAAGAGCTGTCTGTCCTCAGCAAGATGGAAGTCGGTGGGGATATTGTCCATAGTTCAGGCTGTCCCAGGTCACAGCGCCCTGGCCTAATTTTGCTGAATATGATGTGGAAAAATTACCTAAAATAATGAGAAAAACCACAGAAAGAACTATTTTGTAAGATTAAGTGCTGCAAATTGATAGCAGCATAGAAATGTCTTCCTTAGTCAGGTAAACTGCAGCTTATTACTCTGGGGTGGCCAAGTGGGACTCACTTAATTTTAACATCAGTGTATAAAAGTTAGCACCATCTAGACATTCTCTGGTTCAGTAGTTTGAGAACACAGATATATTAAAGCATTGTGATGAGTGGTTTTATTTTAAGTCTGCTATAGATAATAGCAGCATTATATTATTTTGACCTGATAAGATCTTATATAAATGTTCAGCTAAATTGAAAATGATCAAGAAAGAAAGTGTGGAACCAGTTTTTATAGGAAGTGAGAAAGGAAGAGAATGGACAGTAAACATTGCCTTCTGCCTTTCCTATTCTGAGTGCTACATAGATACTGAGTGTAGCCCTGAGTCAGAAAGCGTAGGTATGGTCCCATTCAGAATGTATACAGCTTTCTTTTAGTTGTACAGAAGACTGATCATTGAATTAGAGATATTCTTAGCATCTCTTTAACTCAGTCTTTTGTCAGTTTTTTTCTTTCCAGTTTATTTTTTGGCAAATGCACAAATACTCAAATGCAATAGAAACTTACTAACTTTATTTTATGGGGCCAGCAGGTGGCATGGTGGTTGGGACACTGGACTCGCACATGGCTGATCGCAGCTTGAGTACTGGACCTGGCAGCTTGCTTTCTCACTTTCTCTCTGTCTCTCATTTTGTTCCTTTCTGGTCAGATTAAAAAGTAAATAAATAAAGTTAAATAATATAATTCTTTTTTAAAAAAGAGACCTACTAACTTTATTTTAAAAATTCATAATGATGAAAGCCTTGTTCTTTTTCCAATTGGAGACTTAATAGCATGTAGTTAATGATTTAAGATTGTAGAGTTCTTTGCCATTGGCTTTTTGAGGAAATAAACTTGCAGGGCAAAAACATAAAAATCAAAATAGAAAAATTCTATCTGACTGCCTTACAGGAGGCTAATTTTGTCCTCATTTTTGTGTACTTGGGTAGTTGGTTAAATGTCTTTTAGGTATTTGGCTTGTATTTAATGGGTGCTCCATAAATGTTCTTGTATAAATTCTTTTAAATAATTATTTATTTTTAAAATTGTATTTGCTATTATTATTCTTTAATCTGACTAGAGAGTGATAGCGAGAGCAAGAGACGGAAAGTGAGAAAGCAAGTTGCCAAGTCTGGGACTCGAACTGTGATCAATTGTGTGGGAGTCCAGTGACTTAACCACCATGCCATGGCCCTGTCAAGAAATGGTTTTGAATGAATTAATGATGAATCAAATAATCCATGTAATATATAATTTTTACTTGTTCTTTCCTCTATTTAAAATGTATTTAACTCTAAGAATAGTAACAATTCATTTAGAATATCTCTAAATATTAGAGAGGGACCAGCAGATGGCATAATGGTTACATTACTGGACTCCCAAGTAGCCGACCACGGTTCAAGTCCCGGACCTGGTGGCTTCAAACTCACGCCAGCTGTAGGTGCACGCATGCCCAAAATCCTGAAAAGAGAAAGGAGAAGGGATTCAAGTCTATTTATTCCTTTCATGAGAAGGATAGAGTATGCCATCCCAACAGGGTCTCGATGTTGTGATCCACCCCCCCAGCCTTCAGCCGGCCCTGGATGATGCCCATGTTTGCCTGGAATCATCAGGGAGGTCTCCAGGCTCAAACCAGGAACATGGGTCAGCTTTGCTGAGTGTCTTATTTTACCTTTATGCCATTTTCTAACTGCTTGGATTCTTAGTCGGGTCATCAGGACAGGAGATGGCCTTGTAGCTGGGTTTTTATTGTGCTTAAGAATTCAGGTCAAGATCAGTAGATGGCATAATGGTTATGTCACTGGACTCCCATAGTCGACTGCAGTTCGAGTCCTGGACCCAACAGCTTAAAACTCACGCTGGGCATGTGTGTGTGTGTGTGTGTGAGTGTGTGTGTGTGTATGTGTGTGCATGTGCAAAATCACAAGAGGAGCCTGGAAGAAAAAGGGATTGTGGTGTGGCCATCCCCCTGGGGGTGATTTCTTGCTTTCTATCTCTCCAGCAAGCACACATGCCATATAGCAAACATCTCTCTAAAAAAATGAACAAATAAATACAATTCTGGTCATTGCATTGGAGTTGGTGATCTTCCAGTGTCCATTCCAAGCTCCTCTGTCTGGCTCTGTTACATTACTTGCTATACTTTACTGTAAAGGTGGACTGGTCTGCTGTAAAGGTGGTTAAAAGTGTTAGATTCCCACATGGCCGACAGAGGTTCGAGTTCCAGACCTGGTGGTTTGCTTTCCTACTTTCTCTTTCTCTCTCTCTGGTTAAATTGAAAAATAATAACAAATGGAATTAAATAATTAATTAATTTTAAAAAGAAAGAAAGAGAAGAGAGAACAAAGACAAGATTATGTGAGTGTTTGGAGAAAGGAGAGTCAGGGTTTGTGCGACTCCTAGATGTGGGTTTGCAGGGAGTGGAAGGAGGCCACGCAAGGAGGAGGTGGGTCTGGACTCTGGGATGCTGTGAAGGATAGATATTCAAATTATAGAAGAGATGTTTAATGTGAATGTATGTTTAGGACTAGGGAGAAAAACAGAAATCTGCACGGAAGGTGTTGTTTTAATGTCAATGGACACAGGGATATGCAGCATTTCAAACGCTAGTTATTCAATACAGTAGTGCATCCTTGCTTAGAGGGGTGCCAAAAGTATTTTGAATTTCCCCTTCATAACTCATTAGGAATTTTAGCAAAACATTTTATTCCTGTGCACTCTTTTTCTACAGCATTTTTTTGTATTTTTTTTTTTTTTAGAGATTTTTGCTAAATGGTGCTTGTGCTTGCACTTGCCAGAGAGAGAGCAAGCGAGAAATCACCCCTGGGGAGAGATAGCCATGCCACAGTCCCCTCTCCATTCTCCTCTTGAGGTTTTGGGCACACATGTACACATGCGTAGTATGAGATTCAGGCTGCTGACCCTAGGACTTGAACCACTCTCTTCGGCCGCCTGAACCTGGGACTTGAACCACTCTCTCATGTGGGAGGGAGTCCAGTGCCTTTAACTGCCATGCCACCTGCCAGCCCCTCTCTCTTCCCTTTCTATTTGGACATTCTCCCTCCTCAGGACTGTCAAAACTCACTCACTCAGACAATCCTATACCACTCACTGGTCCCAGTTTTCTTTTTCAAATTGCCAGAGAGTGCGTACACAGGTGCATGTGTGCACGTGAGAGAAAACACCCCGGCGTGGTCGTGCTGTAATCCTTTTTCTTCCATTTCTCCTTTGCATCAGGATTTTGGGTGTGCACCAACATGAGTCCTTTGTGTTTTTCAAGCCACTGGGCCAGAATTTGAACTACAGTTGGCCATGCTGGATCCAGCTCCCTATGTGTGGGTCTTAACTGCCATGTTACAGGGCCAGCCCTCCTGCAGCTTTTCAACAAATTATGTTCCTTATCAGCAAGTAGCTTAATAATATTTAGAAATGATATTTAGCAACTGTAAAGTCTAAAGAAGTTTTTTTCTTTCTGTTTTTCTTTGCTATGGGTTGTATGTGCTTTTCAGAGCTGGGGAGGGGAAGGGAAAAGGAGGAGGAAAGAGAAAGGGAGAGAGAAAGTAAGAAATCAATCCCCGGGGGGATGGCCATGCTGTAATCCCTTTTCCATTCTCCTTCTTGGATTTTGGGCCCTTGATCAGAAGTTTAACTATTTAGATAAAAGATTTCCTTGACTGATGGATTATATTTACCAGTCTTGGCTTTTAGAGAAACTCTACAAGTTAAACATACTGTTTTTGAAGAAATAAACGGGGGAAGTTCTTCTGAGGAATGTCTTCCCTTTTTTCCAGGTGAACACATGGAAAGCAGCGCTGGATGGCGCCTTACCTGCACCCCTCCGTGAACTTGAAGGTTGGCTCCAGCAGGCAGAGCAGCTTGTGGCTGACGGGCTGCCAACTTCCCAGCTTTATTCTGAAGCCATGGCTCTGACGCAAGAGAAAATGACTTTATTCAAGGTTGGGAAAGTAAAAGACATGGAGTAATTAACACTTTGTAAGGGAGTGTTCTTGAGGAAAATTTTGTCCTAGAAAAAGAGAGAAGGAAATACTAGGGGTTCTTCAAAGAGTTCATAGAAAAACTGTATTATGAAAAACCCATACATAAATTTCAAATTCTTTTGCACCAAAATAAACTTGTATTCCAGTTTTATTTCCCATAAACTTTTTTTTTTTTGAGAGATTTTCGCTATAGGGCGCGTGCGCTCGCCAGACAGACAGAGAGAGACAGAGAGACAGAAAGCGAGAAATCACCCCCCAGGGGGGATGGCCATGCTGCAGTCCCTTCTCCTCCATTCTCCTCTCAGGATCTCGGGCACGCACGCACTCGTGCCCGGCATGAGTTTTAAGCCACCGGGTCCGGGATGTGAACCGCAGTCGACTACGTGGGAATCCAGCAACATCCCCCCCCCCGCTAACTGCTGTTCCCCTCCCATAATCTTTTTGAAATCTTCTTGCACAGCCGATATTTGAGGATGGTTTAGAGTGATTTCTCTGGGGATTTTTTTTTTTTTTTAAGGTTTTTGCCATAGGGTGCATATGCTTGCTGGAAAGGGACAGAGAGAGACATTGAGAGGGAAAGTGAGAAGTCACTCCCGCCTTCCTTTTGGCCGAAACCGCCATCTTCCAGTAATTAACCAAAATGACGAACACAAGGGGAAAGAGGAGACACGCGATATATGTTCTCTAGGCCTTTTAGAAAACAAGGAGTGGGTCCTCTGGCAACATATATACGAATCTACAAGAAAGGTGATATTGTAGATATTAAGGGAATGGGTACTGTTCAAAAAGGAATGCCCCACAAATGTTACCATGGCAAAACTGGAAGAGTCTACAATGTTACCCAGCATGCTGTTGGCATTGTTGTGAACAAACAAGTTAAGGGCAAGATTCTTCCAAGAGAATTAATGTGCGTATTGAGCATATTAAGCATTCTAAGAGCAGAGATAACTTCCTAAAACGTGTGAAGGAAAATGACCAGATAAAGAAGGAAGCCAAACAGAAAGGTACCTGGGTTCAACTAAAGCGCCAGCCTGCTCCACCCAGAGAAGCACGCTTTGTGAGAACCAATGGAAAGGAGCCTGAGCTACTGGAACCTATTCCCTATGTATTCATGGCTTCAGGGTGTTAAAAATAAAATAATTTGTGGTGTATAAAATAAATAAATTTAAAAAAAGGAAGTCACCCCCTGGGGAGATGGCTACACCACAGTCCCCCCATTTCCATTCTCTTCCCAGGATTTTGTGCCTGTGTGCACATGCATCTGGCATGATTTTCACACCACCAACTCTGGGGCTTGAACTGTGGTTGGTTGTGTTGGAGTCCAGCATCTTAACTGTCAGACCACCTGCTGGTCACTCCTTGAGGATTTTTGAGATCCAGAAGATACCTTCATATTCTTGACCGTTGTGCTGGATTGAGGGGGAAACACTAAAGATAGAGTCCAGTAAGTTCTAAAGCAACTGTAAAGTCTAATCAAAAACGGTCCCAGGGGACTGGTTTACAATGTGGGAGAATGGATGCTCACTACAGTCACGTGAAAAAACTGGATATGTGAGATTTATTTAGCATTTAGCATTTGAGCCAAATAGGAACAGACACTATACCAGAAAACGAAAGAGGTTGATAATGGTTTTAACAATGAAACCGAAGTCTGCTTCTCTGTTAAATATTTTAGTTTTTAAAACATTTATGATGAACATGATTATTTATAAAATCTTAGTTAAAAAGAATGAAAAGGGCTTTTAGATCTTTTAGGGGAAAATGTAATGCAAGCTTCATGATCCAACCCTCACTTACAGTGTTTGGCTAAATGTCTGGTTTATGTTGTGCTTGATTTTTTTTCAGGATCTGATGGGTAAATCTGACTGTCACTTGAATGCTCTGCTGACATTTGAAAATAGAGATGAGAGAGATTTGCCATTGGTACCACCTAACAAACTGGAGGAGATGAAAAGACGGTTTGTGACACTCCCATTTCACAACTGCTGACAGTTATGTTTGTGCACTAACATGGTGTTATAGGAACCACAGAATGAAGATTTTTAGATAATCTCTGACAACGATTCTCCTTTAAATCTTGATAACAGTCCCTTCGTGGTTTATGTAACGTGGATCATTCCATCATCCTGACATATTTCCTTTCTTATTGCGGGGTGCAGTGTGATGATGGAAGAATTCTGGACTTAGAAACTGAGCTCTGTATCTTGACTTTGGCTAAGTTACTCTTTCTGAGCACTTTCCTTTATTTGTAGCTGTAGGATAATGATAATCACCTTGTCTGTGTCTCAGAAGAATACTGCATCAATGGGAGGAGGTATATGACAGCACTTTATAAACTGTAAAATACTATCAATATGGAAGTTATTAATTGATTGTGTCTTTATCATCTTCCCTTTTCTCATTACTCATGAGCAATTAAGTAGACTAACAAGAGGGTATTAACATTAATAATCAAATCATTTTAAAATGTTAAGTTTTTTTTTTTTTTGATTGCCAGAGGTATGCACACTGGTCAGAGAGAGAGAGAGAGAGAGAGAGAGAGAGAGAGAGAGAGGGAGGGAGGAGAATGCACCCCTCAGTGGGGGTTGGTCATGCCACACTTCTTTTTCCTCTATTTCTCTATCCTGTTGGGATCTGAGGAACACATGTACACACACTTGGCATGTTTTTCAAGCCAGGAGTACCAGGATTGAACCATGCAATTGGCCATATGGGACCTGTGTCCCTTAGCCCCTATATTATAGGGCTGGCCGTAATGTATAAACTTTTTTAAAAAATAATTATTTTATTTAAATTGATTGATTGATTGATTGACCAGAGAGGAACAGAGAGAGAGAGAGAAAGAGAAGCTGCCATGTCCGGGACTTGAACCTAGGTCGGCCATGTGGGTGTCCAGTGCTCTTAAACCACCATGCCACCTGCTAGCCCTTGTAACGTATAAACTTTTAAATTATAGTTGTATTAAGTTGTACAGAAGTTTTAAAATTTAGCAGGCCAAAATTTTATTTCAGGATTTCTGAATAGGGGAATAGTTTCTTCAGTAAGTGTTCTGTGTTAGATATAATATGTTTACCTTAGAAATGGTAGTTTTGGGGCTAGCTCCATATCCTGGTGGTTAAGGGGGCCAAGATCCCACACAATCAGTTGAGCAGTTCGCATTCTGAACTAGGAGGCTTTAAAAACACTTCAGTTGGGACCAGCGGATGGTATGATAATTGCGTCGCTGGACTCCCACATGGTTGACTGCAGTTTGAGTCCCAGACCCAGCAACTTAAAACTCATGCCAGGTGCATGTGCGTGCCTACCCAAGATCTCTCTTTGTCTCTCTGGTGAGCACATATGCCGTATGGCAAAAACCACTAAAAAACACACACACACACACAAAACCACAAACAAACAAACAAAAAGCCCTCCAGGCACATGTGTGTGCGTGCACAAAATGCCGAAAGAAGGGAGAAATGGAGGAGGAGGGATGGCAGCGTGACCATCCCCATGACAGGCATTCTCTTCTTCCTTTCTCTCTGGCCCTTCAGTGAGTGTGCCTGTCTTCTAGCACATTAAACAAACAACAAAAAGAACTCAGTAGAAAAAGAAAAATAAATGGGTGTTTCATATCTAGTCAAAATGTTTGTTTTACGTTGTTTAAAAAGAAGAAAAAAGAATTGAGAAGACATCAAAGTTCCAATATTTTTTTAAGTGCCAAACAGGTTTTTCACATACATTCTAAAACCTGTATTGTTTTTCAGAATCCACAACATTTTGGAGAAAAAATTGATTCTACTTCTGGAGTTTCATTACTATAAGTGCTCAGTTCTTGACTTGCTAAATGAAGTGAGATCAAAATTGGATGTTTGGAACGTCAAATATGGGAACAAAGAATCCGTGGAATTACTGCTGGAAGACTGGCATGTAAGTTGTTTTATTTTGTGTTGTAGGCAGCTCTTCTCCACGTGTGGGTGCTGGGTGAGCATTTTCCCGTGGTATAGTTTCCCATTAGCTTATGGGCTTTGAGATGGGTTTTCTTGGTAGCTTTCTTTAGCTTAAATAGTGCCTGGAGAAAATAATTATAGCTAGCCGAGTGGCAGGCACAGGGAAGAGAAAGGAGGAGAAAGCAGTGTTATTTATCACCCAGAGGGGTTACGGGTTAACGAGGCTAATTAATGTGACAGGAAGTTTCCATGTCATTTCCTTTACAGTGTCTTTCATTTACTTGAGATTTTAGTTCCTATTTTTTTCCTTTAAAGATTTGTGGTTTCATTCAATAATTATTTTTTCACTAGAACATTTTGATATTAGCCTCTCAAGTTTTAAGAACAGGAAGAACAGGTACCAGCAGATGGCATAATGGTTACGTCACTGGACTCCCACGTAGCTGACTGTGGTTCAAATCCTAGACCTATTGGCTTAAAACTCACATGTGTGTGCGTACCCAAACTCTTGAGAGGAGACTGGAGGAGAAGGGATTGCAGCATGGCCATCTCCCCTGGAGGGTGATTTCTCACTTTCTGTTTCTGTTTTTCCAGTGAGCGCATGTGCCCTATTGCAAAAAATCTCTCTCTCAAAAAAAAAAAAAAAAAAGAGTAGGAAGAATAATTTATTTTCTATTAAGGTATTTTTTGGGGGGGTTTTAGTTCTGCCAGTTTACAGGAAAAAGTATTTTAAGCCAGTTATTTATTCAATTTTGTTCTTTCTCCCATGAAGGGGAGAGAAAAAAAGAGATAGAGAGACAGAAGCACGCAGCACCCATGCCCCCAAGAAGATTTTCACAGTGCAGCCTGCCTCCAGCTCTAGCCAGCCCTACATCACGGCCAGTGTGTGCCTACTGCATTCAGAGAAGTCTCTGGATGTGAACTGGACCCCTCCTGTATGGTCAACCTCCCAAGACCGTTGTGTTGGGCCAGCAGGTGACGTGCTGGTTAAGATGCTGGACGCCCACGTGGCCAGCCTTGGTTTGAGTCCCGGATCTGGAGTCTTGCTTGCTCACTTTCTTTCTCTCTTCCTCTAGTGAGCTCACATGCCCTGTAGCAAATGAGAGAAAGAGAGAGAGAGAGAGAGAGAGAGAGAGAGAGAGAGAGAAAGAAATGAAATACCTAAATAATTCTTTAAAAAAAAAAGAAGTGTTGTGTTTACTGTGGCACTGTCTGGCTCCCCTTTGGTGAGATTTAAATAACAGTATGTTCATTTCTAAGAACAGAAAGAACTCAGAAATGTCATTTCTGAACTTGGGCCTTGTTTTTTCTATTTCCCTCTTTTTGGAAATCAAGGGGGGAAACAAGAGAAAAATCCAAGATGATAAAGGTTTGTGTAAAAGTTGGAAACAAGATGAATAGAAATATTTTCAATTTATGATTTTAAAACTATATTTTTGAATAAGCAGCATCAATCTAAATTAGATTTTATATGTGTGTGTTAGAGTGCACTTGCTAGAGAGACAGAGAGAGAAGAGAGAAAGCACTCGTCCCCCCCTTTCTTTGGAGAGGTTTTTGCTATAGGGCACGTGCACTCACTAGAAAGACAGACGGAGAGACAGAAAGCAAGAAATCACCCGAGGGGGATGACCATGCTGTAATCCCTTGTCCTCTGTTCTGCTCTTGGGATTTTGGGCATGCATGCACACGTACCCAGTGTGAGTTTTAAGCCACTGGGGCTGGGACTCGAACTACATTGACTACCCTGGAGTTCAGTGATGTAACCATTATGCCATCTGCTGATCTCATTCTTGGCAAATTCTATAGTAAAACCTGACAATGTTTTTTTTTTTTTTTTCTTTCTCCCCCAGAAATTTATTGAAGAAAATGAGTTCTTGGTTCAACTTGAAACATCTTTTCAAAAGTGTGAAGAAATTCATAAGAATTTGGGTAAAGCACTACAGTTATTTTTGATACAGATAACATCACTTGAAAGGGGCATTTTTAAATTTTCTTTATACTTCAATGTTTTAGAAATTAGCTTAAATGGATGTTTTTCTCGTAAAGTCTTGCTTTCACTTTTCATATTATTTTGTTTGTCAATTAATATAAAAGTACTTAACAGTGCTATTTATTAATAGAAAATTGTTTCCTAATATTTCTTGTTTTGTTAACCTTGTAGCTGGAGAATGTCAGGAAACTAGTGAACAATATAAGATGCTGGAATGTGATATTTGTGTGTGTAGGAAAAATATAGATAATGTGAAGTCCACTCTACAAAAAGTTCTGGCTTGTTGGACTACATACGTGGAAAACCTTCGCTTACTAAAGGCTTGTTTTGAGGAGACAAAAAAGGAACAAATTAAAGAGGTATTTGCAGTCTTATGAAATGTTACTTTTTAAATTTCATTTTGTTTGGAGACTCTAATCCTCAATCTGAAGATGGCTATGAGGCCTAAGAAGAGTAAGCATGTCTACTGGAAAACCCTCCAAGGTTTAGGAGTTTATTTAGTCTCTTCCCAATATAACTCCCAAAAGGAAATTTACTCCTCATCGTAGGTTTCTCTCACACACACACACACACGTGCACATAAACATACACATGCACATACATTCCTTTATTTAGGTGTAGTTTACAACATACCTTTTAGAAGATAGTGCTAAGATCTGTGGATAGAAAATAAAAGGCTTAAAGAACTGGAAAGCTTATAGGCACATTTAAAGCAAATTAATAGGTTTTACAGTTTTATTTTCCATTGATTGAAAACTTCCTGGTCTTGGGTCACCAGGTGGCATGGTAGTTAAGGTGCAGGACTCCCACCTGGTCGACCATGGTTCAAATTCTGGATCTGGCTGCTTGTTTTCTCACTTTCTCTCTGTCTCCAGTGAGCCCATGTGCCCTATAGCAAAAAAAATTTTAAAAGATTAAATAAATAATTTTTTTTAAAAGAAAACTTTCTGCTCTAAAAGCTTCCTGAGTTTCCAGAGAAACTCAAAATACCTTTGATATCTATGGAGAGGAATGGTTGAAAGGTCAGTACAACTTATTCTTTTCATTTGCTATTTATATAATGTGCTGTTTATGGTCATCTGAGATGGTTTTCTTTCTTCTTTTGTTTGCCTCTGCTGCAGATGGATACAGATAGCCTTTGAAATGAAACGCTTTCCAAATTGAAACTAAAATTACTCAACTGAAAATATTTGCTTTTCTAAAGAATTATTTATTTAATTTTATTTGTTATTATTATTATTTAGTTACTATAGGGCACACACGCACATCAGAGAGAGACAGAGAAAGAGAGAGAAAGTAAGAAGGCAAGCTGCCAGGTCTGGGATTTAAACTAAGGTCATTCATGTGGGAGTCCAGTGCTTTAACCATCATGCCACCTGCTGGCCTCAAAAATATTTGTATGACAGGAAAAATTGTGTTGTATGTGAGAGTGTAAAAAAGAACATCTTAGGGGTCAGTGAATGAACACTTCTCCTTGTCACCTATATTAATACTAGAATTTATTTATTTAGAACTGTGGCTTCCAACAGCTCTTCTGCCTTAGGAGTCGTCTGTTAAAATGTACAAAATTCTGAGGGAAACACAATTCTAAGCCTGCAATTCCCATTCCCTTTTGAGATGCCTTGGGCTGCTGAAGCAAACTTGCAGGATACTGTAGGGCTTTTTGTTTGCTTTCTTAGTTTTTGCTACAGAGTGCCTGAACTCACCAGAGAAAAAGAGAAAGCAAGAAATCACCTTACAGGGAGTATGGCCACACCACAATTCCTTTTCCTCTTCTCTTCTCTTGGGATTTTGGGCACGCATGCACACATGTCCAGCATGATTCTGAAGCCAGAGTCTGGGACTTGAACCATGAACCTAGCCATGGGGGATCCAGTGCCTTACCCTCCTTGCCACCTTCTGGCCCAGATACTGCAGATTTTTTTATATATACAGAGAGAGATTTTTGCTATAGAGTGTGCGCATTCGCCAGAAACATGGAGAGAGACAGAGAGAAAGAAATCACTCCCCCCACCAGGGAGGATGGCCATGCTGCAGTCCCTTTCCTCCATTCTCTTCTTAAGATTTTGCACACACATGCATATGCACCCAGCATGAATTTCAAGCTGCCATGTCCAGGACTCAGACTGAGGGTGGCCATGTGGGAGTCCAGTGCCTTAATCTCTACACCACCTGCAGAATTTTTAAAGAAAAATATTTATGTATTTATTTCCAAAAGAACATCAGAGAGACTGAGAGAGTCACCCCAGGGTCTCCACACTCTAGTCCATGCCCAGCCTCCCTCCGTTGGGATCGTGCACTTTGTGTTACTGCTGTGCTGCTGCAGCTGGCTCATACACGAGTTTTGAGGGACACACGGCAGCATGTGTTCTGTGGACACCATGCCGCTACTGAATTGTAGGGCCTGACTACTTAAAATTCAGAACCGTTAGAAGGTCATTATTCTGGCTTAGGGAGTCTGTAAAAAAATAAAAGTATGTAGACATTTTGAACCAAACAAGTTTGGGAACCCCTGCTGCAGGGTCCTCAGCCCCTAAGGAAGATGCATCAAATGTAAGGCCAGGACTACCTGCTAATTAGTGATTAGGGATGCGGAATAGACCAAACGGGTCCTCTCAGGGGTGGGTCCGAGTCTGTGCAGAAACCATCACATTGGGTCACTTTTGCTTAGAGTTAACCTTGGTGAAGTTCAGTCGCAGCTAATAGATGGATATTATGTCGCTAAAATGTGTGGTCGTATGTTCTATAGGTTCCCTTCGAGACACTATCCCAATGGAACGTGGAACATAATACCTTGAATGAAGTGGGAAATTTCTTAATTGAGGTCAGCAGTGATGAGGTCGGGTCATCTATTTCTAAAGAACTGAGAAGGCTAAATAAAAGATGGAGGAAGTTCATTACAAAAACTCAACTTGTAAGTTCTTTTTATTAAAGGTTACAGCTTTATGTAGATATAATTTATGCGTCACACAATTCATGCATTTAAAGTGTATAAGGAGTTGATTAGTATATTCACGACATTCTGCAGCCATCCTCAAGATCCATTTTAGAACATTTTCATCATTCCCGAAGAAAGCGTCCCCATTCGCATTTGCTCCCTATTTCCTCTGAACCCACGCAGACGTAGGCACCCGCCAACCCATTCTCTGTAGATCCACCCGTTCTGAATGCTTCGTGGAATAACATTGTCCATAACGTGGTCTCTTCTGACCAGCTGTTTCACAGAGCATCATGTCGAAGGTTGAGCCACATTGTTGTATGTGTCAGTGCTTAGTTACTTCTCACCCATAATAATAGTCTCTGTATGGATATACCACGCTGTGTTTATCTAGTCACTGGTGGATGTCCATTTGATTCTTTACTTTTTTTTTTTTTTTAGAGAGATTTTTTGCTATAGAGCACATGTGCCCACCATAGAGAAAGAGAGACAGAAAGTGAGAAATCACCTCCCAGGGAGGATGACCATGCCACAATTCCTTCTCCTCCATTCTCCTCAGTATCTCAGGCATGCATGCACAGGTGCCCAGCCTGAGTTTTTTTTTTTTTGGGGGGGGATGTGGGGGAGGCTTTTGCTACAGGATGCGTGTGCTTGCCAAAGAGACAGAGACAGAAAGCGAGAAATCACCCCCCAAGGGGGATGGCCACGCCCATCCCTTCTCCTTTCTCCCCTCGGATCCTGGGCATGCATGCACACGCACCCGATGTGAGTTTAAGCCACTGAGTCCGGGGCTCGAATCGCAGTCGGCTGCATGGGAGTTCAGCGACATAGCCATTACGCTAACTGCTGGTCCCACCCAGCCTGAGTTTTAAGCCTCCGGTCTGAGACTTGGACTGGGGTTGACTACGTGAAGTCCAGTGATGTAACTGTTATGCCATCTGCTGGTCCCTCTTTACAATTTTTGACTGTTATGAACAGTTGCACCTGTGAACGTTCATGTGTAAGTTTTTGTGTGGGTATGTATTTTCATTTCTCTTGGACATGTTTATACCTAAGAGAGCTTTTAATTCTTGAGTCTCTTCTAATATGTAGTTTTTAGTTGAGTAGTAAAGAATAACGTAAGCATTGTTTTTGCCTACTGTGTGTGTGTGTGTGTGTGTGTGTTTCTTTTTTCAGTTTTTAGTATAGGGTGCTAGGCTGCATGTATGTGTTTGCCACAGAGAGACAGGGAAAGTGAGAAATAACTCCTCAGGGAGGATAGCTATACTACAATCCCTTCTTCATTTTCCTCTCAGGATTTTGGGTACATGTGCACAGATCCAAACACCAGGTCTGGCACTTGGACAGCACACTTGACAATGTGTGATTCAGTTGCCCTAACCACTCCACCACCTGGCTGGCCCCGTGCCTCCTACCTCCCTGGGAACATACACGGCGTCTCCTTTATACTTAGCACTGTGTTTCATAAAAGAAAAGCAGACTTTTAATATTTTTCAACTTAAATTATTCTGTTATTTACTTTCATTCTTTCTTTTTAAAGGTTTCTGACATAGGCTGTGAGTGCTTGCTGGAGAGAGAGACAGAGAGACAGAGAGATGGAGGGAGGAAATGTAGGAAATCATCCCCGGAGGGATGGCCACACTGCAGTCCCTTTTTTTTCCATTCTCCTCCTTGGATTTTGGGCACGCACACATAAGTGTCCAGTGTGATTTTCAAGCTGTCGGATCTGGGACTTGAACTGCAGTTAGCCACATGAGAGTTCAGCAACTTAACCACCACACCACCAGCTGATCCTCTATTTCTTATTCTTACCAATTCGAGGCTTATGTGTTTTATGGGAAATTCCATATCTTATGACATTGTTGCTGAGAGCTAATTCTCAGTGTGTTTGACTAGAAAGACTATGGAATATATGGAATAGAATATATTATGCCTGTTTGTCATGTGAGCATTAGACTTCATGAAATTAAATTTTTATAGGAAATGAAACTGCCAATTATTAAAAAACAGGACCAGACTATTTTCGACAGTTCTGGAAATATTCTACTGTCTGAAGAAGAAAAGCCAACTGTTGCTGTTGCACCAGATACGGCAATAGAGCTTCCTGGAAATCACACTGAGCATATAAAGGTAAAATAGTCATACTTGGTATATTTTGTTATATATTAAGTTGTCGGAAAACTCATGATGCATTTTTCCGTAGAAAAACAGAAAAACGCGTCATGACTTTTCCGACAACCTAATAGAAATAATTTAACTTTGCTATTCAAAAAAGTAGATAAAAAATATGGTAAATGTATGAATTACTGGATAACATTTAAAGTTCAAGGGGCCTTCAGAAAGCTCATATAAAATCCATTTGTGGAAAAACTATGCATGCATCTCTAAACTTTTTAGCAGAAAAATAAAATCATACTTTAATAATTACATTGTCACAACTTACTTTGTAAGATTTTTGCCACAGGGCACTTGTACTCACAGTAGAGAGAGGGAAAGTGAGAAATCAACACCCCTCTCCAGAGGCTGGCTACACCTCTGCAATCCCTTTTCCATTCTCCTCTTGGGATGTTGGGAACACGTGCACGCATACCTGGCATGAGTTACAAGCTACTGGGTTCAGAGCTTGAACTGTAGTCCGCCATGTGGGAGTCCAGAGCCTTAACCACTATTCCACCTGCTGGGGACTTTCTAAATTCCCCTTGTATGCTGACTTTTCCAGAAAATGCTTAAGTGGTTTCTTACAGTCAGTGGTCTTTACCATGGAACTCTGCTTATTCTGCTTACTGCTTCTTTCCAACATGGAATTTCAGACACACAGAAACAGCCATGAGTCCCAAGCAGTTGAAGTTGAGCTGATATTTTCTTTAGATTACTGCTGAGTAGTTGTTCAGCTTTAGGATACTCCTTTAGCAAGCTCCTGTATTTGCTTCCTTTTTGTAAAATGGGGAAAAACATAATCTTTCTTCCTGGATTTGTTGGACAGTTTGGGAGGAAACTTTAGATTGTAAGGAAGATTATAAGTTAGTATGGGAAACGAAGAAACAATCACACACATGTGAGATATGATATCTATGGTTTTGGAAATGTGCCTCTTTCAGAATAACTTACATAGCTTTCCTTCAGAATGTAAATTTTTAAAATAATTTTTTTCGTATGTCAACTCTTTTTTTTAAAAGTTTCATTTATTATTATTATTATTATTTTAAATTTAACGAGACAGTGACAGAGAGGAGAAAACAAGCTGTCGGGTTTGAGACTTGAACCATGGTTTGCCATGTGGGAGTCCAGTGCCTCAACCCCCAGGCTATCTGCTGGGCCCACTGACAGAGTCTTAATCAGAATTTTTTTTAAGAGAGATTTTTGCTCATTGGAGAGACTGAGAGAAACAGACAGAAAGCGAGAAATCACTCACATGGGGGATTGCCACTGTCCATTCTCCTCCATTCTCCTCTTGGGATCTTGGGTACACACATACACACATGCTGCCAGCGTGAGTTTGAAGCCGCCAGGTCTGGGACTTGAACTGTCGTTGACTATGTGGAAATCCAGTGACATAACCATTACACCATCTGCTGGTTCCCAGAAAAGATTTCGAATCTTTTTAAAATCATATTTCACAACTACTATTACAGACAGATGTATTTAATTAAACTGTATATGAGTTTTAGAAATGCTTTTTTATAAAGTTCCTACCTTAATTTTCTAACTTTTATTTTTACCTGTAAAATGGAGATAAGATTATCTTATCTAACTGACAGTAACGATACTATAACTAAGTACGAAAATATAAACAAACCTTTTTCTTTTTTGAGAGGCTATAGGGTGCTTGCGCTCAACAGAAAGACAGAGACAGAGAGACAGAAAGCAAGAAATCACCCCCTGGGGGGATGGCCATGCCTCAATCCCTTCTCCTCCATTCTCCTCTCAGGATCTTGGGCACACACACACACATGTGCCCAGCGTGAGTTTAAGCCACTGGGTCCAGGACTTGAACCGCGGTTGACTACGTGGGAGTCCAGCGACATAGCCCTTATGCCAACTGCTTATCCCACAAACCTTTTAATCTATAAAATGCTACACATATTTTGAAGGGTAATTACCAGTTGTTCTCAGACTAGATGCTATATCATTTAACTGGGTTTTATTAGCACTCTAGGACAGAAGGAGGTATTACTTTATGAAATGGAAAATTATTTCATAATGTAATTGTTGGCATTTTCTTTGATCATTTTGAATGTGACAGATTGGGGAAGAACATGAAAAAGAAAATGAAGAATTCACAGGGCAACTGAAAATGGCAGAAGAGGTTGAAAAGCTCATTGAACAAGTGGAAATCTGGGAGGCAGAAACCAAATCTGTGTTGGATCTTCTGAGACATCAAGATGATGTGGATGCCTCAGTGGAAGACACTTTGCAGGTATGCGTGGAAGGGATGATGAGAGTACTTTCATGGTCATGGACTATGTGAACTAACCAGTTTAAGATAAATAAAACTTTTTTTTAAAATAATTATTTATTTATTCATTTGTTTTAATTTGACCAGAGAAAGACACACACACACACACACACACACACACACACAGAGGGAGAAAGTGAGAAAGCAAGACACCAGGTCCAGGGCTCGAACCATGGTCAGTCATGTGGGAGTATCCAGTGCCTTAACCACCACGCCACATGCTGGTCCCAAGATAAATAAAAAGTTTTAAAGAAAACAATAATAAGCCTGCAGTTTTAATTTTCTTTGTTGGAAGTTTAAAAACTGAATGAATTCTTATCCTTCGGACATTTGCTTAAGACAGGGGACCACTGATAGTATCTTATGAATGTTCTTGAATAAATTTCTCAGTTACTGATTGGGGATTACAGTTATTCTTTTGCATCACAGGGCAGTGAGGAGATGAGTGAGTGAGTACAGTCTCATATGGATCGTAGCAGTGTGGCTAGATGAGATTATACAATCTTTGTCTGGAAGACGTCATTGTGATTAAGCCCCCTTTTCCCTCCTTATTTATTTATTTATTTATTTGGAGAGGTTTTTGCTATAGGGCGTGTGTGCTCACCAGACAGACAATGAGAGACAGAGAGACAGAAAGCGAGAAATCACCCCCTATGGGGGATGGCCACACCACAATCCCTTTTCCTCCATTTTCCTCTCTCAATCCTGAGCATGAACGCATATGCGCCTGGTGTGTTGTAAGCCACCGGGTCCGGGACTTGAACCGTGGTTAACTACATGGGAGTCCAGCAACATAGCCATTATGCTAACTGCTGGTCCCACCTTCCTTATTTGATGAAGGAAGGGCGACTGGTGCTGCTAGAACTCTGTTCAGTCTTTATTCTCAGGTAGTCAGCTCACTGAAAAGCAATGAGGCAAGAGTGTTTTTTTTTTTTTTTAAGAATTATTTTTTAAAATTTTATTTATTTATTTATTTGACCAGAGAGAGAGAGAGAGAGAGAGAGAGAAAGTGAAAAAGCAAACTTGAACCGTGGTAAGCCATGTGGGAGTCCAGCGCCCTTAACGATGACACCTGCTGGACCCAAGTGTGCATTTTAACAGCCCTGAGTTCTTCTGGGAAAGAAGTTTAACTGAGTCCCAGCTCAGTGATAAAACCCACAGAGCATGTTGTAAATTACAAGATGGGAAGTCTTAGAATAAAGGAGCATTTAATGATATTTGTAAATCTGCATTTCTGAAAGGTGTATATTTCAGTACTTGGTGTTTTCATTATTTGTAAGACTGATAGTTTGTATTGCTTTGAAAATATAATATAAGCTTACTTTACCACCTGCCAGTGCTTTCCTATTTATATTTACTTTTTTTAATTAATTTTTTTTTTGTTTTTGAGAGACATTTTTGCTATAGGGTGCATGCACTTGCCAGAGACACAGAAAGAGACAGGGAGACAGAAAGTGAGAAATCACCCCCCAGAGGGTGGATGGCCATGCCTGCAATCCCGTCTCCTCCATTCTCTTCTCTGGATTTTGGGCACACATGTACATGCATCTGGCATGAGTTTTTAAGTCACTGGGTTTGGGACTCAAATCTCAGTAGACTACGTGAAAGTCCGGCAATGTAACTATTACTCCATCTGCTGGTCCCCCAATTTTATTATTTTTTAAATATTTATTTATTTGCTCTATTTAGAGTTTATTATAGTGAAAAAAATAATCAGATGGAAATTCAAACTTTAAAAAATAATTTTTAAAACATTATTTTTAATTTTTAAAATTATTTTTATGAAGCAGGGAGACAGAAAGACAGAGGGGAGAGAGACAGAGAGAAGCCCCCAGCATGGCCTTTATGCTACAGTTCACACCCGTTCTCAGTCAGCCTGGATCACGGGCATTTGGGCTCTCGTGCGCATGCCCAGCACACTCAGAGAGGTCACAGGATGCAAACCTAGGACCTTTCCCGTGTAAGTCCAGTTGTGCTACCACAGTGCTACCACCTGGCCCCCAACCTTTATTTTTTAATTTGAAAAATATTTTCAAAACAATAGCAAGACCTCTCATATAGTGAAAAAACATACTGAAATATACTTCTGCTAAGAAAGAATTAAGTAGTTCTCATTTGAATCAAAATATTGGCTCAGGATGTGTTCTGATGTAGGAAATACAAGTTGCTGAGCAGTGCGGATAATGTGTTCCCATTTGTGTTTTTTTAAAAAGAGTTGTGTTTATATGCCGTATGTGTTTATATTTCTTCAAATAAATGTAAATGACTCTCTCTTGATCCTGCATTATACCCAGCTCCTAGTGTATTACGTGGCACTTAAAATGAATGTGCAAATAATTGATTAAATGACAACTAAGCGGAGATGGGGAGGAAAAATTTTTTCTTTACATTCTATACCTTTCTTTTCTTTTTTTTCTTTTTAACTTTTTGTCATAGGGTGTGTGTGCTTGCTAGAGAGAGACAGGAGAGAGAAAGTGAGAAATCACCCCCACTGAGGGGTTGGCCATGCTGTAGTCCCTTCTTCATTCTCTTCTTGGGATTTTAGGCATACACACATACACACACACACACACACACACGCGCACACACACACCCCTTGTGTGATTTTCAAGCCCCTGGGGCTGGGATTCACACTGTGGTCGGCCGTGTGGGAATCTAGTGCCTTAACCACCCTGCCATCTGCTGGCCCCACAACTGTGGTGATTTTAATGTACTTCCACTGCCCTAAGATGAATAGATCAATGTTTATATAGCTGATACCACACATGTTATTCTTATTTTACATAGCCATGGTACCTTCATATTATAAATTTTTTTCTTTTTTAAACAGTTTGCTTTATCTGTTCAGACAGTTAAGGTTTACCCTGTTGGACTGTGACTCATTTTTTTTTTTTTCTAACTTGGGAACTAAGAAGTGGTTATCTGGCTATTATCTTAATTTGTACTTCTTAGATTACATGTACTACATGTGTGATTGAGTTGTCTTTTACAGATTCATTAGACATCCGTTCCTGTATATTATTTTTTTTCTTGTAATTTCAGAAATTACTTTGGGATCTTGGGTTTTCCTTTATCAACGAATTATATAAGCTCTTTTCATTGTGATCTACTTTCATTTCTGTGGCAAATATTCTTGACGTTTCAGTTGTTTGCTGTGTCTAGGTTTCTATGTTTATGTAATCATGTCTGTCCCTACTCTTACATCTGTAAAGACCCTCCCCACCCAGATAACAGATACATTTTCATGGATAATTTCTTCTCTTTGTGATTTCTTAGTTTATATATAATTTTCTTATCTATCTAGAATTTAATTTTGGAATGCTGTGTAGTGCATGATTCTAAGATTATTTTCCAATAACGATTTTCTTCAGTAACATTTATTGAATTCCTTTCTCCATTAGTTTGACTTAGAACAACTTCATTTTAATGTTTATTACTATTTTCTCAACTAATTTTCTTTCTATTGGCATTGCATTACTTTTAGTTTTTATTTTATTGATGCACTACTATATAAAGAATGATCTATAAAAGACTGTTACTCAGAATCTGATTGTATTAATATAAAATTTCAAAGTGATTGTTTATATTAACAGTGTTTTGCAAATTATCCTTATTTTGGATTGATAATTAACTTTTTATTGTTTACTGGTGAGATTGTTAAGGTTGATGTTTAACGTATAATCCAAACATTTATTGTGATCACACTTCAATTTATTTTAACAGCATCTTATTGCCAAAGGCTCTATGTATGAAGAACTTGTGGCTAGAACTGAAGACACTTTGCAAATGGATGTACAAAATATTTCAAGCCGGGACTCCCTCCAACATGTTCTCAGAGCTGGGCTTCAGGCAAAAATTGAAGAAGCTAAAGAGAAAGTCCAGGTCTCTCTTGTTCTCTTTCTCTTCCTCTCTCATTTAAGAGGATGCATATGCTTGCCAGAACAACACAGAGAGGGGACCAGCAGTTAGCGTAATGGCTATGTCGCGGGACTCTCAGGTAGTCGACCGTGGTTCAAATCCCGGACCCGGTGTCTTAAACTCACGCTGGGCGTGTGTGCGTGCATGCCCAAGATCCCGAGAGGTGAATGGAGGAGAAGGGAAGGTGGCGTGGCCATCCTCCCTGGGGGGTGATTTCTCACTTTCTGTCTCTCTCTTTCTGGCGAATGCACGTGCTCTATAGCAAAAATCTCTCCAAAAAAAAAGAAAGACACAGAGAGTAAGGGAAAGGGAGCAATCATCCCCCATGGGGTGTGGTCATCCCTCAATCCCCTCTCGTTCATTTTGCCATCCAATTGGGATTTTAGGGAGGCATGCACATGCACCTGGCATGTTTTTCAAGCCATTGGGGCCAGGATTTGAATGACGGTCAGCCATTTGGGATTTAGCTCTCTTAACCATTAGGTTACAGGGCTGCCCGAGGCCTAGCTTCAATATTTGTTATGTAGTGAATTTTCTTATAAAACCGAGTGTTCAGTGTGTGGGAATTAAAGGAGCTAATAGCCTTATAGCTTAGAAATGTTTTGATAAGGGGCCAGCAGATGGCATAATGGTTACCTTGGTGGACTCTCATGTAATCAACTACAGTTTGAGTCCTGGACCTGGCAGCTTCAAACTCACACCAGGCATATGTGCATGCATGGCCCAAATCCCAAGAGGAGAATGGAGAAGGGATTGCAACATGGCCATCTTCCCCTGGGGGATAATTTCTTACTTTCTGTCTCTCTGGCGAGCATATGCACCCTACAGCAAAAATCTCTCTCTTAAAAAAAGAAAGAAAAATGTTTTAATAAACTATTTCTCATTATATTTTATTTCTTTATAATTTGGAACATATTGGAAAATACAAACATGATAAACTAGATATTTCCATGTGTAGTGGGAAAACACCAATTGTTACTCAGAGGAAACACTAACTTAGGAATTGACTAAGACATTGGATCAAGTGTTAATTTGAGAGTTTGTTGCCTTCACAGATCAATGTGGTGAAACTTGTGTCAGCGATGAACAACTCAACTGACGTTTCACCAACACTGGATATCAGGCTGCAGGTGGAGGAAGTACAGAAGGAGCTTGAATCGTACATCACAAGGGCTGAGCAGTTACTTGGGCAAAGAGAGGATCCCAGTGGCCTCATTTCAAAATATAAGGTGGGAATCCTTTCAACATCAAATGTGGGATATTTATTATTAGCTACCTATCTTGTTTGAAATCAAGATGTTTCCCTCACTGTAATTATGTACAAAGTTTCTATAACTTTAACCATTTTCCCAATTTGTACATTTTTTCCCCCTGAGGCTATTAAAAGTAAACATTGAGTCAGCTGAATGGTGGTGTCATCATAAGACAGTCCTTCCCCACAATGGAAGGTTCTAGGTTCATATCTGGAGAGGTCCTAGGTTGATTTTACATATTTTGGTAGTGATTGCAGCTTAAGATATAATTAAGATATAATCATGGCCAGCAGGTGGCATGGAGATTAAGGCGCTGGATCTCATATGGCCAGTTTTATGGTTCGAGTCCTGGACCCGGCAGCTTGAGAATCGGTGCAAATGCATGCATGCCCAAAATTCTGAGAGGAGAATGGAAAAGAAGGATGCAGTGTGCCCACTCTCCCTGGAGGGAGATTTCTTCGTCTTCCTCTTTCTAGTTCACACACCCTATGCTCCCACTCTCCCCCACAAAAAGGGAAAAGATAGACAGACAAGCAACTTCCCTAGAGTCTTGTACCTAGATCCTCCCCCAAGTCTTCCCAGTCAGCTAGAATTACAGGCATGCCCAGAGAGCACAGATTGACCCAGAATTTGAACCCTGATCTTCTGTATGGCCTCCAGCATTGCAGAGTGTTGTGTTACTGTTGCTCTATGGCTGGGCTAGAGACTCACTATTACACTATGGAAGGTGCTCGGAGGGATTTGAAGCAAAAGTAAAACAAGGTCTCTACCTTTGGACATGTTGGAAAAGTGGAGTAATATGTGTTCTTTTGTTCATTCATGTTTTCCATCATTTACCACGCTTAACTGAACACTTAAAGTGAGCTAGGCATTGTGGGGAGATAGAGATGTGGTAAGGCAATGACCCCAGTCCTATTGTTCCACGCTTGTATGAAAGGTGCCTTTCTTCACTCACGTAGGCCCCATCTCTTTACTGGGCCTTATCCCTGTTTTAGCTTTCTGGATTATTAAACCAAACTGGACTCTTATTACTAGCCATTTTAACATTGGTTTTCTCATGTCCTTAAGAGCCCTCACCTGCTTGATCTTAAGCTGTTTGTACATTGCGAGCCACCAATTTTGACCAATTCCCATTGTCCTTTTTGTCCCCAAGTTTACTTCCAAGTTACTGGGAGTGTTAAAATGTCTGTAAGAAATGAGTAGTTCTTGGGGCTAGCAGGTGGTATTGTGGTTAAGGTGCTTGACTCCTGCATGGCCAATCATGGTTCGAATCCTGTATCTGGCAGGTGTGTGTGTGTGTTTGTGTGTACCCAAAATTCCAGGAAGAAACTGGAGGAAAAGGGCTTGTGGCATGGCCGTCCTCCCTGGGGAGTGATTTTTCATTTTCCCTCTCACTGTCTCTCTATCTCTCTGACAAGTGCACATGCCCTGTGGTAAAAGCATTAAAAAAAAATTAAGTCAGTGGTTTTTAAAAATAACCTCTAGGCTAGATTTCAGGAATGTGGGTAGGATCTGCTCAGGAAAGGTTCAAGGGGGAATAAAAAAGGCCCATAGGTTTCTTCTTGATCAGAGAGAAGAGTTGGAGGTCTCTCACACCTTCTTCTCCTTGACCATCTATCGTCCTTGGAATCTGAGGCTAGGGCATCTCCCTTTTTGCCTGTGGTATTTAATGAATTGGACATATTTTCACAGCAGAAGATTCCTGTCTTGCCAGGTATTACCCTGAGGCAGCTGGGACTTGAACACATGGGCAGCAGGAGCTCCCTGCAGTATATAGGTCAGGATGTCTCCCTGAGTCCAGCTCCTCACAGAGGCCTTAGGGAAGGACCCTGAGCTTAGCGTTGTACATTTATGTAGCGAGCCCATAACACATGTGTTGTGAGTGGATGAGCAAATTCATTACTTCTCCCCCAAAGTTTCATTCATCTTTTCTCATCTCCTGTAGCTTTTCTGTCTCTTTCATAGGCCTCAACCTGTTTTTTGTTTATTCTGTCATCCTCCAGTTACCCCGGCTAAGTTTCTGCCCTGATAGAGTTACCTGGGAAGGAGCAACTTCCCAGTCAGCCAGCATTGCAGGCATGCCTGGAATGGCTGTCCTGTCCTATCCCTGTCTACTGCTGTTCCTTCCCAGAGGTGGGTCTGCCACTGTGGTTGGCCCCAGCAGAACTCTGAAGCTGTTGAGGTGATGCTGCCGCCTTGTAGCAGCGCATGCTTGTGCACAGTAGTAAATATTTCCCCTATGAACCCTGCTGTAAACTTTGGTCTCATTGCAACACTGATCTGTAATCCATGCTGATGTACTCGTGTTGTTTTGCTTGTGCAGAATGGTTGTCTACTCAATATTTAAGACCTTTAGAGGAAACATTCCCAGTGATGCATTACCCTGTCCAATAAACCTTTTTTTTTAAAAAAAGTTTTATTTATTTCTTCTATGAGAGAAAGATAGAAAGAGCCAGAGAGGGGGAGAGACACTTCCAACAAGGTCCTTACCCCCAGCCTTCAGGTAACCCCAGTCCTGGGCACGTGCATGCCTGGGTGTTCAGGGAGGTCTCTAGACATGAACTCGGAACCTTTCCATGTGGGTCAGCAGAGTGTTGGGTTACCACTGCACCATCGTTTGGCCTCTGGACTTTAAATGATTTATCAAAGGAGTAGTGAAAATCATTTTGAATGTCATGAAGATATCAAATGTGGGGACCACAGGTGGCATGGTGGTTAAGGGTGCTGGACTCTCACATGACTGACTGTGATTCAAGTCCCTGACCTGGTGGCTTGCTTCCTCACTTTCCCTCCCTCTTTCTTACTCTATCCCTCTCTGGTCAAATTAAAATAAATAAATAAAGTTAAATAAAATAATTATTGTTTTAGAAAAAGGATATCAAATGTGTTACTACAGTCAAATAATAAATATTTTGTAAATTTTTGTCAAGAGAATTCAAGAGATGCAAAAGGGATACATCCTTAGTTTACAAAGAGAAGTCTCCTGTAAATCTTCAGATAGTCTTTGGAGTATTCCTTCTTGATTCTACCTGTTAAAGGTCTACAAAAATTAGCTTTGAACATTTGGCTATATAATGAATTTCCATTTTCTCATTTGCGTGTTTTTTTTCCCCCCTTAGGAAGCACTAATAATTTTCAATTCTAAAAGTCTGACCAAGTATTTGAAAGCCATTGAAGAATTGAAAAATAATGTAACTGAGGAGGTAAAGCTATCTTTGGAAGGAAAGAGTAGAGAAGTCTGTGCCAAGTGGGAGGTAAGTTACGTGTATTAGGGCTAGCAGGTGGCTTGGTGTTTAAAGCATTGGCCTCTCATATGGCCAACCGTGGTTCAAGTCCTGGACCTGGTGGCTTGCTTTCTTACTCTCTCTCTCTCTCTCTCTCTGTTTCTCTCTTTATCTCTCTCTGGTGAGCGCACATGCCCAGTAGCAAATTAAAAAAAAGATACATGTGTGTCTGGGGCTCATGCGTGGAGGACTGATCCTGGGCTTGTAATTGCGGCCAGTCATTGCTGGGGTTCTCCTGTCTGCTCTGTCTTACAGAAGGGTAGACCTCTGCAGGCTGTGGTTCCAGCTCTGCATCAGCTAGCTTCTGTCTCCCTTCAGCCAGTGACAGTTGTGTTTAGAGATCAGAGGACAATTTGGGGAAGAAAGGGGGGATTATTTCCCCTCTCTCTCAGGCAGTGCTCTCTGCAGCTGCTGCTTGCCATCTCCAGAAACCATGGTTCCAGCTTCGGATGGTCTCTACTGATTCTTTTTTTTTTTTGAGAGATTTTCACTGTAGGGCGCGTGCGCTCGCCAGACAGACAGAGACAGACATAGAGACAGAAAGCGAGAAACCACCCCCCAGGGGGGATGGTCACGCCGCAATCCCTTCTCCTTCATTCTCCTCTCAGGATCTTGGGCACGCACGCACACGCGCCCGGCGTGAGTTTTAAGCCACCGGATCTGGGACACGAACCGCGGTTGACCACGTGGGAGTCCAGCGACATAGCCATTACGCTAACTGCCGGTTCCTGTCTCTACTGATTCTTTAGCCCTGGGATAGAAGCAGCTTTCTGCTCTTGCTAATCAGTAGATAGCCTGGCTGTCCTGGTTGCCTTCTCGTGCTTTCATCTCTTGTGTGATCTGTTTTCTGTATTTAATATTCCCTCCATGAAATGTTGAGAGTGTTTTCTGGTCTCTTGGCTGGCTCCTGGATCAAAACATGGACATAGCCACATACAGAGTTTCCGAATGGAATAGGTGTGAGTTTTGGTGGCAAACTTGGATTTAGCAGCTCTAACCCTGGTTAAGTTACTTAATTTTTAGGAGCTTCGCTGGTAAAACGGGAATTATACGACCTACTTGGCAGGGTTGTTGCAAAGGTTCATATATAGCATCTGCCACAGAGGTTGTGTTCACTAAATGATAATTAATATTACAAATGTGTGTATGTCATAGATACTGATACACATGCATATGTAACTGAATTTAATGACTATTGTTAAGGATTCCCCTACAGTACATTTTAAAATAAACTTTCAGGGCCAGCAGGTGGCATGGTGGTTAAGGTAGTGGACTCCCACATGGCTGACTACAGTTCAAGTCCTGGACCTGGTGACTTGCTTTCTCATTCTCCCTCTCTCCATCTCTGCCTCTCTCTGATCAAATTGAAGAATAATAAAAATTAAATAAAATAATTCTTTTATATATATATATATTTTCAATTCTAAAAGTCTGACCAAGTATTTGAAAGCCATTGAAGAATTGAAAAATAATGTAACTGAGGAGGTAAAGCTATCTTTGGAAGGAAAGAGTAGAGAAGTCTGTGCCAAGTGGGAGGTAAGTTACGTGTATTAGGGCTAGCAGGTGGCTTGGTGTTTAAAGCATTGGCCTCTCATATGGCCAACCGTGGTTCAAGTCCTGGACCTGGTGGCTTGCTTTCTTACTCTCTCTCTCTCTCTCTCTCTGTTTCTCTCTTTATCTCTCTCTGGTGAGCGCACATGCCCAGTAGCAAATTAAAAAAAAGATACATGTGTGTCTGGGGCTCATGCGTGGAGGACTGATCCTGGGCTTGTAATTGCGGCCAGTCATTGCTGGGGTTCTCCTGTCTGCTCTGTCTTACAGAAGGGTAGACCTCTGCAGGCTGTGGTTCCAGCTCTGCATCAGCTAGCTTCTGTCTCCCTTCAGCCAGTGACAGTTGTGTTTAGAGATCAGAGGACAATTTGGGGAAGAAAGGGGGGATTATTTCCCCTCTCTCTCAGGCAGTGCTCTCTGCAGCTGCTGCTTGCCATCTCCAGAAACCATGGTTCCAGCTTCGGATGGTCTCTACTGATTCTTTTTTTTTTTTGAGAGATTTTCACTGTAGGGCGCGTGCGCTCGCCAGACAGACAGAGACAGACATAGAGACAGAAAGCGAGAAACCACCCCCCAGGGGGGATGGTCACGCCGCAATCCCTTCTCCTTCATTCTCCTCTCAGGATCTTGGGCACGCACGCACA